TCCTAACGGAGAGTTGTGGATTTGGGACATTTCTGAGCAACACCACGGTTTAACAAAACTGTTGGTGAACCGTTTAAAGACAGGATCTCGTGTTTTACAGCTTAGTATGGTCCCCAATGACCAGTTCAAAACAGACCTTCATCTGCTGGATAATTAAACATGAAACCCCCTGCAGTAAGCCACTGAAAGAAGTCCTCAGCTTTCCATGACAGTGATTTCATCCCAAACGCTTGGCTCTGGAACAGAAAGTCTCCTTTTCTGTGCCAACGTTCTCAGCACGCTGGCTGCCGATCTGTCGTCTGAGGCTCCATTTATTGGCGCACTCGTTTCAAGTGTTTTGTACAAATCTGTTATGAGACATCTGCTGTTTTAAAATGTCTCCAGTGGCTGATTACTCCTAAAACTGTTTCATAAAAGACGGCCGGTGCCGAGAATGAGTTGCAACCTGCAATTTAAGCCCTTATTTGGGGTTTTATTTGTGCTTTAAATCAGTCGAAGGTTTCCATGGTGTTTGTGCGTTTTGTTTCTCCTCAGCACTTTTATCTGGAGAACTTGGTGAACTCTTTATTATGGGCCTCCCTTGAGGATGAAAAATAATTCCACCCACCTCCCCACATCAAGGTCACTGCTGCAGATTCAGAGAAAGATGTGCATCACTCTGAAGGATTTGCTTTAGATGATGAGTATTTTCTCCTGCGGCCAATATTTTTGTTCGAATCTCCTCCTACTTGTGTCTTTTGATGCATCTTTGTCCAGAATCAATTTAAAAGAGAAACGGTAAACATGTAACCAGTGACATCTAGCATTATGGCCAAGTTAGGGTCAAAGTATCGTCTCTGTTAACCCTCTCACTGTCCTAATGGGTGACCCCGCGAGGAAAGTTGGACCCTGCCACGTGGGCCTCAAGGGATAAACCATCAATCCTGCTCAATGGTCAACGTTCCTCGCGAGTTCACCCATTAGGACGATGGAAGGGTTAACGAAAAAGACAAAAAGAAGACTGAAGTCAAAAACTGAAGAACTCTAGTAAACCTTATGCAATCATGTTTTCTTTTATACATTATTTTAAATAATGAGGGTATTAATACCTTAGAGGTGTTTTTAGGAATCTTATTATTTTTATTATTATTCATATATTTTTGCTATTATTTGTTGACAGTTTTCTATCAGTAACTGTTAAATCCTATTTATCTGGAAATTTTGTCCTTTTATCTTTCTTTTATTTTACTTTCTTGTCTTCTTTTGTCTAGTTTGTCTTATTCTTAGATTCTTTTGTCATTTTTGTCATTTTTATGTCTCTTTGTGGACAGTTTAAATGTATTTTTGTGTCTTTAAGATTTCTTGTTATTTTTCGTATTTTTCTGCTATTCTCTGTAATCCACCAATTCTGTATTTGAGGGCTAACACCACCTTCAGATTTTTGTGCAGCCCGTCTTTGACGGACCGGTGTTGTGCCCAAATTTGCATGCCCTATTTTGGGAAAACGCATATGAGTAATGAGGCAGCTTTTTAATGACATTGTGTTGTTAAGATGTTTCTTATCTGCGAGCTTCCTTACAAAATGATGATTTATGGGTAGATAAATAAAATAAATTACTATTTATAACATGTTCTATTTGAAGTAATGATAATACATTTTCACAAGGGTTGTAATTTTGAGTCACAATGCTGCCTTTTTAAACCAACAGCAAAATAGTTTAAGCAAGCATAAAAAACAATATAAGAAAAACTAGGAATGCACCGATACCACCGGTATTGGTAAAAGTTAACCGATACCAATGCAGTTCCTGTGTGCGTGCGTGCGTGCGTGCGTGCGTGCGTGTTTGTGTGTGTGTGTGTGTGTGTGTGTGTGTGTGTCTGTGTGTGTGTGTGTGTGTGTGTGTGTGTGTGTGTGTGTGTGTGTGTGTGTGTGTGTGTGTGTGCTCTGTCTTCTCGATCCCCAGTGAGTCGTGGATGGCTGCTTATGCTGAGCCAGGATCCTCTGGAGGTTTCTTCCTGTTAAAAGGGAGTTTTCCTCTCCACTGTCGCTAAATGCTTGCTTAATATGAGGATTGCGTCAAGTCACTGACACTAGTCATCTAGTCAGTGACTTGATGCAATTTGCTGGGTTCCTTATATAGGAAACTTTTTACCGATTGGCTTAATAAACTGACCTGTATTGGAATGTTTACTATGTGAAGTGCCTTGAGACAACTCTTGTCGTGATTTGGCGCTATATAAATAAACTTGAACTGAATAGAATTGAATTCAATTGCCTTAAAGTGGCTTCACTCTAATTTGTCATTTCTATTCACCTAATATTGTAGTTTTGTTATTTCTATTAATATGTTTTATTTTTATCTACCTCACAGTCTTTTCCTGTTGAGAGCATAGAAGAAAACAAAACCTGTATTCCTTTTCATTGCATTTTTTTGTGTGGTAGAAGTGTCAGTATCAGTAATCGGTATCAGTAATCAGTATCGGCGAGTACTCAGAACTAAGTATCGGTATCGAATCAGTTTGGAAATACCGGTAAGTGGTATCGGTGCATCCCTAAGAAAAACATTAGTGTCAAAAACCTAAATTATTTAATCATATTGTCAGTCAAAAACAAAACATTTTCAGAAGGAGACGTGTTCACTTTCTGAATCTATTAAAAATAGCCTCATCGTGCATAATGTTTACTTCTGCAGTTTGTGGCGACAGGGCATGCACATTTTGGCGGGCGTGCTCTTCACACAACACCAGAACGGCTTATTGGGACTTGATGTCAATAGAGTCTCGCTATTAGGTTTGCCTGCAATGATGGTTATGATCCAGTAGGTGTCAGTAGACCAACATTTGGGTAATGAGCCGAAACACCTCATCTACCCATCACTAATTTGGGGCAATTCCCATTTATCTCAACAATTTGTAATTAACAGAAGATTTATTTTCCGATTTCTAATGTTTATCATATGTTAGAGCTTAGCGATGAGGAGTTCATTCGTGTGGAACAACCGTAAATGTTAAACACCATCAGATCAGCTCGGTTCTGGTTCTACAGCAGAGTAACTATATAAACACGGCACCAGGAGGAATACCGTGTGGATTCTAATGCTTGAGGACAAAGCAGTTTACTGCTATGGAGACATTTTTCTCTCTAATCTGCAACAACACCCATTTCACTCTCTTGTCTCACATTCCAGAGATTCTTCACAGTGAAACAGACCCAGACCTGCATGAACAGAGGCTTCACAGAACATTCCACCTGAAGAGACAAGTCCCATTGTCTATTTCTCTCCTGCGTGATAGCTAATGTGTTTAGCAGAGTCTTCGCTGAAAGTGCTACTGTCCAACTTAAACTTGTATTTTTTGGTGATGTAGATTCTACCAAAGTTCCTGAGTTTGAGTCCCAGTTAGGTATTAGACATCTCTTAAACATCTAAAATCACATACAATTGACCTCAGTGGGAATTCTGATGTGGGAGAGAAGTCAAACTCAACCTAGGATTGGGTCACATGGGAGGGTTTTTAAGTTTCTGTGACAATTTTTCAAACATGAGACATTGCACATGGGGCAGTGAAAAATAATGGAACAGTTTTGGTCTTAGTGTTTGGTGTGCGGCGAGATGGCCAAAATGACTGCACATAAACCGATGTCACATACAGACATTTCCCAGTCAGACAGTAAATCATGAGAGATCGAATTTGAAGTAAACAAACATGGGGAAGAGGAGGGTGCAAAGCTCTTCCATCAGCTCGCTTGCGTAAGGGGCAGCAGAAGCTAAGAAGTTATAGTGGGTTGTCCAGTAATCGAAAAGTTGCAAGTTCGATCCCGGCTCTGACCAGAGAATGCTGCCGTTGTGTCTTTGGGCAAGACGCTTAACCCACCTTGCCTGCTGGTGGTGGTTGGAGGGACCGGCAGCGCCAGCGTTTGGCGGGACTTGCCTTTGTTAGTGCACCTCAGGGCAGCTGTGGCTACACTTTAGCTGATCCTCACCAGCGTGTGAATGGGTGGATGACTGATTGTGTTGTGAAGCGCCTTGGGGGGTTGTAGAAACCTAAGAAGGTGCTGTACAAATACAGGCCATTTTCTGATTGGCTACATGTCACATTCAACAAGCAGCACATTAATTTGTCCTTAAATATCAGAGCAAGACAATCCAACATTTTCAAAGCTCAAATTTATGATTTGAGCAGTCCCGAGGTAGCCTAGAAATCTAGACAGTAGCAACAATGGTTTTATTCTGCATTTTGGTCTAGTCACGCTCCATAGAAGCCTCAGCAGGCCCGAGCAGTCTTGTGTTACACCAGTCTCAGCGTTCTATTGGTTTGGTGAGCAGGAGGATATAACGGAGCAGAACAACTACCATACCTTCTCAGAGGCCTAGTGGTAGAGTGTCCATCCTGAGCCTTGGACGTCAGGGTTCAAATCTGGTTGGGTCATACCAAATACTTCAAAAATGAGACCCAATGCCCCACTCAGCTTTAAATTCTGACAAAAAATAAAAATAAAAATTTTGTCAAATGACTAGGACTAAATATCTTGTCAAAATGAACACTGGTTCAATTAATCAATACAACTTTATTTGTATAGCACTTTTCATACAAAAGAAAAAGCAGCTCAAAGTGCAAATGACCCAATGTAACCCTTATTCCCATCCCTTCCCCACAAATATAAAAACAATTGTGGTTACCACTCGTTAACTTAACTGGCAGGTCATCTGCTTGGTAGGCCATATCTTTGTCTCCATATTTTACTCAAACATCAACTATCTTGCTACGCAAAAAATAAATAAATAAATTACGGGAATGTTTGAATATAAAGTTAACCTTTATTATCTTACAATAATATTACCTCAATATTAATACTATTATCTTTACATTATCTTAAAATACATTTCAACCCTCATTTCCTCAAATGAATAAAAAAATGTAAATCAAAACAAAAATTGTTTAAAATTATGTCATTTAATTTTATGTCAAAGAAGTTGTTCTGTGTATATTAAATGAAGCGAATCCCCCTTGTTTGTGTCCAGGCAGAGCGAGACGATGGGCTGTGTTAAGAGCAAAGAGGACAAAGGTCCTACCATGAAGTACCAGACGGACAATTCCCTGGGCTCAGATGCCAGTGCTGCCACCTCTATGCCTCATGCCGGGCACTATGGGCCGGATCCGACACAGCCACTGCAGAACCAGGCTTCAGCTGCTTCTGGAGCTGTGAATTTCAACCACAGCCTCGCACCGTTTGGAGGCTCCTCCGCTGCTATAACTCCTTTTGGAGGAACATCCACTTCCTTCTCGGGTCCAGTGTCCAACTCCTTCTCTGGTGCTGTTTCAAGTGAGTGGAAATTTATTATCTCATCCTAAACTTGGTTTTACAGTATGTTTCACTAGATGCAATAAACATACACAAAAATAGTATTGTTTTATTTATTACTGCAGTTAATGAGTAGTTAGTCAGGTTTTTGTAGTACGTTTTCTAGGGATGGTGTAGCCTATAAATCTAGCAGTGCCAAAAATATTTAGCTCTGCATGTCAGGCTAGCCACGCTCCGCAGGAGCCTCAGCAGGCCTACCATTGGCATGTGCAGTTTTGTGCTATGCCGGTCATAGCGCTCTATCATTTTGTTGGGCCAATCACAGCACTCTATTGATTTGGTGGGCCAATCACAGAGCTCTGTTGGTTTGGTGGGCCAATCACAGCTCTCTATCGGTTTGGTGGGCCAATCACAGCCCTCAGTTTGGTGAGCCAATCACAGCACTCTATCGGTTTGGTGGGCAGGATGATGCAATAGAGAGGAACAACAAAGATGGTGGTGGCTCCTTTGAAATGGCTTTGGCATCAATTTTGGATTATTTAGATTTGGGCTTTTCTTTGAGTCAAGAGCAGATAGACGTACTTAAGTCCTTTATTTAGAAAAGGGATGTATTTTTTGTTCATGTATGGTGTACTTCCCCGTTTACTGACATCTATAATGGTGAGTATGTCATGTTGTTCATTGTCCAATAGCATACGGAGACAGTTTGAAAGACAGCCATAGATTCCGCCCCAGGACTGAGATATGTCTATGGGTCATGGCCAGTCAAAACCCTAGACTGGATGGCTTCCCAAGCTTGGGATGTCCAATATTATCCACCCAAATTGGCACTAACATTTAGTATAGGAAATTATGAGTTTTTGTTTTTACTCTTTTTATGAAACAATTTATGCATGCACTCATTATACATCAATCTTTTCTGCTCCTTCTCCTCTCTCTCAAAATGTCAAAAAAAAAAAAAAAAAAAAAAAACGATAGATCCGAGCTATGGTTTATGAGATAGTTGTGTTTATTTGGTAGAACTGGCCAAATTAAAGACCAAGTTCCCTGAGAAAAAAATTCTACGTGTTACATTTTAAATATTATTGAGCATTCTGACTTCAGCATGCAGACTGAATGTGAAAATTCTACCCCTATTCCCTGCATTAGCCGCTGATAGAAAATACACGGGGAGCTCTTGGATTAGAAAAAGCCATTCAGATCTACGTCACACTGAAAATTAGCATTTATGGCTCACCCACCTAGGCCTGAGACGGTAAAGGTTGTTGTTGATTTAGCATCCAGGAGAGAGCAGAGCCAGTTTCAGCTAGTAGAAGCCAACCATTAGCATTAGCAACACCACAACATGGCAGAACTTATTCAGGCGTGTTTTATTTGTGAAGAAAAAACATCAACATTGCAGAGCAAATTAGTAGTAGAGTTGAGATGCTGTTAGCCAGTCAGAGGCAAGATGCCCAGATATTAGGAAATAAGACTCCAAATCCTGCCATGTTCTGCTCCTCTATGCCCTGGCTCACATCTAGTTCCTGAAACAGGAGCGACAGAGCTTTTTTTCCACAGAGATCAACTCACAAGGCATTCATTTATACTAGAGAATGCTGCAAATGTGTAGAAAAAAAACAGTGAACTTGGTCTTTAAATGGAAGCATTTGTGGTACTTTGCACAGATGTGCTCTTAGTCACCTAAAATTATTTATTAGTTTTTCTCTTTTATGGAGGTTTGCATGTATCGGTAGTAGTTTATATCAGTTTCGGATATTAGGACTATATTGATTTATCGGACATCGGTCAAAAAGCCTAAATCGAACATACCTTGTGATTTCTAGTTGAGACCGCTCGATCGTAACCACCGCAACATTCTTGATATTATTATATATTGCTATGATGAGCATATTTCTTCGTATTCGATCATCCTGATGCTCACAATATTTTTTTATTTTTGAATTCTGACTACAACTGTAAAAATTAGGTTAGCATCAGCAATTAATCACAATCATCTATGATACTGAAACAAAACTGTGAATATTTTCATAGAATTCAGATCTACTTTTCAATCTGGAGATGTTGGTAGGCTGCTGCATCTTTAGCCAGTAATCCTGCATTGTTCTTATTTGTTGTTAGTTGTTGCAGAAATCCAAAGCAAAGAGCTGAGATTGTACACTCTTATTTTTGTGGGATTAGGTTGTAATCCTCCTCCGTTTGGATGATCTGCTCTTAAAGGGGGGCGAAGGTGGCACTGTGGTGGTGTTTGCTTTCAGCAGGTGATAATGGGATTATTGTTGACAGCGTTTTTGTCAGTGAAAGTCATCCTTGTGGGAGTGTTGCTGCTCAGAAGGCACCTTGTGTTTAGCAAGATGAGCTCGCTTATTAGCCAGATCTGAATCGTTTTGTCAGTAAAAAGAAATTTATTAGAAACTGATTTGATGTTTGTTGTGATTTATTTGGCCCATACAAAAATGTTACCATGTGCCTTTAAAAAGCTTGGTCAGAAGGATGTTTGCATGCAGAGCATACACAATTAAATCCCAGGCTAAAGTAAATCAATAAAGACCTTGGAAAGACAGATTCATCTGTCTGATGTCTCGTTCCTGTACTGACACCTGAAATAGGTCCGATATCGACTCAAAAAAACTGTATAGGATTATATCGGACTTCATTAAAAATCTCTGATATACACAGTCCATTCCAGTATTTCTATCCAGCAGTGCTCATATCCAGCATGCAAAGCCCGTGTGATAAGAACAGTGCATGCTAGCGAAGTAGCAAGGAACAAGAGCAATGTTGGCCGCCTAGCAGTATTTTTCAGTGTGCCTCAGTGCAACACTTTTCATGCACAAGTCCCTCGTGATGGAACAGAACTGGGGAAGTTTACAAAACACTGCATGAGAATTTTTACATAGGTTTTTTTTAATTTTTTAATTTTTACATTTACTGTTGCTGGCTTTTGTTCTCTGAGTAATATCACTTCATACATTCCTCACTGTGGAATAGGTATAAGTATGTGTGATTTGTGCTGATATTGTGTCAGATTGATATCGGTATCGGTCAATATTGAAGGCTGTAAAATCTGTATCATATTGGAATTGAAAATGTTGTAACAAGACTAGGGGTGCACTGATTGTCGTTTTTGGCCGATCACCGATCTTGAGAAAAACCTGACTTTCCGATACCGATTTTGCCTTAACTAAAAGAAGATTACGTCAATGTTTCAATATGAATACTCATGAAACAACACCATTTTCAACTGGACATGAGGTAATGTTCTCAAAATATAAATGAACATATTTAGCATTGCTGTCTGAACTACAAAATCATATTTTCTCCTTTAGACTTTCATTTTTCTAATTTTGAAAACACTTGTCCAAACAAATTAATTATAGCAATGATTTGCTTTAACATTAACTAGGGGTGCACCGATTGCAGTTTTTGGCTCATCACCGATCTTGGCAAAAACCCGAGATCAGGTCTGATAGTTCAGTTGGCCGGTAGATTGGTGCACCTGTAAACAGGACATCTCTATCCTTATCCCTATCTGTCTCATCTGACTTTGTTTGCTAACCCAGCAGTTCTCGTAGCCACAAATCAGCCAACTAGTTATGAATCTGGGTCTCATTGTTGCTTTTCCAGGTGGTGTCACCTTTTTTGTTGCCTTGTACGACTACGAAGCCAGAACATCAGACGATCTTACGTTTAAAAAAGGAGATCGCTTTCAGATCATCAACAACACGTAAGGCTCCCTTCATTTTCTCTTTTTTTAATGTTCATTTGAGGGTATTGTGGTTAATACAAGATCCTGTCACTCAGCTGTGCCTGTTTGTGTGTCACATGAATGGGTTTGATTGATGCTTTTATGCTCTTGTTGCACAGGTGTCATCTGAATTTCACACAATTATTATGCAAAGCAGATTTGGGGGAAAAAATCATGAATCGGGACTGAACACAAAAATTTCAGCTACGTATCTTTATGTATGAACCGGATCTTGTCCTACATGATGTTCCTTGAAAAAGTGGTTGACTGCCGTTTTTGTGGAGTTTTCCCTGACTGTCACTTTTTGGATCCTTACAATGACTTCCTGTTCCAGCAATATGGTGGCACAACACCTCATACAAGCAGAACACATCATTTAGAGCAACAGTTCCCAAACATGTAAGCTTCAAACCCTCAAGATAGCCCTCATAGACCCCAGATATCTCTGATTTGACAGTACATACATGCTTAAAGTGACAGTGTGTATTTTCCCTTGAGATAGGGGCCATTAGATACTTAAATCATTGCAAGCAAGCATTATTTTTGTGTTCAAGTAAGACCTTACCAACAGATGGCTATTAGGGTCAAAAATCCCTGGGAGTGCAACCATCAGCAAAATGACAACCACGTCAGACTCCCTTTCACCACGGACAAGGAGTGAAGAGGTAAATGTGTGAAACAACAACGTTTATTAATGGTGAAAGTTTTGTAACCATTTGTTACAAATCAGTAAATGTGTTTTGTCCTCACGGGTTACCGTAGAAAGAGACATGGCATCCAATATGGCGTCGCTCAGAGACTTGGACCCGCTCCCATGTATTTTAGACCTGATTTTTATGGTTAAATGTTATGAAACTGCCAGTATTTTTCAACAACGGGGCATCTTTTCATTCATTTAGAACTACATTTCCACGAATATTTCCAGAGATGAATGGTAAAAACTACACATTGCCACTTTAAAAAGCGAAATAATTCAGGGCACAAAAAATGCTTCAGCTAATATGTATATCCATTTGTCATATTTTAGTTGAGTTTTAGTAAAATATATGCTAGAAATAGAGCTTCAGCAATGTTTTTTTATTTTAATTTTTTTTCATTGAGATTTTTGGAAACCATCTCAAGACTCCCCAGCTCTTGGTAACCTACAGTCGGGTCTAATGCCACTGATGTAAAAAACGGTGTTTCTGCAGTCTTGACAAAGAATAGAGCGTCCACCACAAACTTATTATTTGTGAGTTCCTACATGTTTAAGTCAGTGAAATTTGAATCGTAAATTTACAGAGGAGGAAATGAAGATACAATTAAGAAGATTTGGCAGCAAATGTCTACAGAGAAAATGTCCACTAAGTAAATGGGCCCCACTAGACCACTTATTTCAGTATTATCAGGAATCTGGAACCGTAAATGTTCAGACTCAGTTGTATATTTGATGATTAAAGTTGTAAGGCTAAAATTTGCAGGAACCAATATAGACTATGTCTTAGATGATGCAAGTTAAAGCTGCAATGGCAAATCTGCTAAACAAGCTAGCTTTTAAACATGTTCACGACAGAAATCTCACCCCTCCCGTTGGCTATCATTCCGAGGCTACGTCCGCCTGATATAGGAACCCACATTGCCACAGTAAACAAGATAGTGCTAAACACCAGTGGCCATTTTCTAGGTCCAAATGTCTTTTGTTGTCCGTGACTTCAAATGGTGTTTTTCTATGGTAGCTTGTTCTGAAGTTGCAGTGGTAGCAGCCGGCTGTTTGTCCTTCTCTGACATTATTGAGCCGAGATCCTCTCACACCAGTGGTGTTCTGTTGCAAAATGTGCGAGTGCGTAGTTAGTGGACGACCCAGGTAAGTGCGGTGGTTCGGTGAGATAGACAACCAGTTGGTCCAATCGTTTGGTTCAGATCGAGCAGTTTAATTGGCAGAGGTTTTAAGACAAATGTGAGAGAACCACTGGCATAATCATTAAAGTTATTTTTTATCTTCACAAAATATTTATAGCTATACTTTGCTAGAATGTTGTGAAGAGGTGTTACAAAATGTTTTAAGCTAGCCTGTTTTGCAGATTTGTTATTGTAGCTTTAATATTCATAAAATTAAACCAAAGGTTTTTTAAACAAGCTGATGCAGTCTTTTTGTTTCTTACTTTTCCCTCAACTGACATTTAATGTACATGTAGAAGTGCCAGTCTTGTGCTGACAGTTAAATGAACAAGCCATTTCTCTCGTTTCATTGTTCTCCTGCAGAGAAGGAGACTGGTGGGAGGCTCGCTCCATCAACACAGGGAAGAAAGGCTACATCCCCAGCAATTATGTGGCCCCTGCTGACTCCATTCAGGCTGAAGAGTAAGACCTTGCTGCTGCATCTTATAAGCTCATTATTACTTCCACAGAGTCTGTATCAGTGGCTAACATTTGATAAAGCTGAATGTGGGCCATCATTTACAGCTTCCCAATCTGGAAGAAGCTCCACAATGTGGCTTTGATGGTTTAAAACAGCACATTTATTATTTTTGTCAGTATAATACTATCTCTGAATGGACTGCATTGTGTTTTGGTGGTTTTGCAAGAGTGTATTCATGTGCTGTCTATTCACAGGTGGTACTTTGGCAAAATGGGACGTAAAGATGCTGAAAGGTTACTGCTCATTCCTGGGAATAATCAAGGCACTTTCCTTGTGCGAGAAAGTGAAACAACTAAAGGTGATTGTGAAAAAATATATCTACTATCAGGAGAAACTCACACAAAGAACGGAAATTTTGGTCTTTCAGTTTTCTTGAGCTCAAAGACGTATTTTTAATAACAATATAGAACATTTATAAGTAAGCAAAACATTCAAGAACGCCTAAAACCAGACAAGTGACTGAGAACTGACAGATGAAAAAAAGAAAACAAAAACATATCGAGAAAATTTGATTAAAGAGAGTCAGGTTTTAACGGTTAATCTAGTTCTGAGTGAGGTTTACCATATGGGAAAAAAAACTTTGGTTTGGATATATAGTGGAAAAGAATTTCAGAAGCTGGTTTAGTGTCTAGATTAATATTTGTAAAATAGGCAAGGAAATTTGTGCTTTATTTAAAACTTCTGAGCAAAATAGTTGTTCGTTTAGTTGAGATGTAGAGCTGGGTGTCATTAGAATAAAAGTGAAATAGAATCTAGTTTGCTGAAAGGGGCCAAGGACTCAACCCTGTGGAACACCACATGGAACGAGAGATGGTTTTGACCATCTGGTTTAGAAATCTTTGTCTTGAACAAACAAAAGATCAGTGATGTATGACATGAACTAGGTTCGACATTTGTTGATGATATCACAGGAAACAATACATTGTTGTGAAAAATTGTGACGAAAGCAGCAATCAGCTTGAGGGGGAAGAAGGGGAGCTGCTTAATGCTGTTGTATTCAGTTAAAAATTATCTTTAGAGTTGCAGTCTGTCATTTAGAAACTGTGTTTGTTTCAACAAACACAAAAAATGTCTAATGTGAAAAATATAAAGGTACAATAGCACTGACTGAGGTCCAAAGTTGGACAAAAATGGAAAATTGGTAATCAAAATAGTGTGCCTCTTTTGTGTTGGTCTATACTTTTACTTATATTGATGCTGTTAGAATAAAATTACAAATAAAAAGTAGAAAAGTTGTTTAAATTTGGAACATAAATGCATCTTTATCAAGGAATAAAAGAGTAGATGCGTCTGTGGCATGTTTCTGTTGTTTAAATATGCTCGTGAAACCAGCTCTAAAATTCCATCGTTCATAAACACACAACAGTCAAACCAAAGCATCAATTGACAAACATCTCCTCCCTTTAGGTGCTTATTCTCTCTCCATACGAGACTGGGACGACGCCAAAGGAGACAATGTGAAACACTACAAGATTCGCAAGCTGGATAGCGGGGGCTACTACATCACCACGCGAGCTCAGTTTGACACGCTGCAGAAGCTCGTCAAACACTATACAGGTTTGAAACACTCGTCTCATTATCCATCGCAGTCTTTCGCCAGGCCTTGGAGAATCATGCTGTCATCCTGCTTGCTGCGTTGCTAAGGGAGATGAATGCTCTTTAATTTTAATAACAGTTCATGGTGCAGTTAGGATTTTGCGCCTCCCACTTCATCTTGAGGTTAAGTCTCTGTGATTCCACTTGATTTCTGCGTGACTCTTGAGAGGTCTTTCCTGAGATTACAGAAAAAAACACTTTATTTACATTTGATCATGGTTGCTTTAAGTGCGTCTCAGGAAGAGCTGCTTAACCAGACATGTGATTTAAAATTCTTTCTGCTGCTGCTTCAGACCGTCTGGGTCTGAGTGTGTCGTTCTGTCATTTTCACACACAGAACATGCTGACGGACTCTGTCACAAACTAACCACGGTTTGCCCCACCGTCAAGCCTCAGACTCAGGGACTCGCTAAAGACGCCTGGGAGATTCCAAGGGATTCTTTGCAGCTGGAGGTCAAACTAGGCCAGGGCTGCTTTGGAGAGGTCTGGATGGGTAAGGTCTGGCTCAAAAACCTTGAAGTATGCATGCCCAATGTGTGGCTGGGGGTCTATATGGGGCCCTCGGACTGATTTTGCACGGCCCCCCAAATACATTTCTCGAAATTCACAAATTTGTTTTCAAAAGTCTGTTGATGTAAATTGAAAGCTTTTTACATTTTTATGTAGAGATCTTTATGTCTGTTTTTGTGTTTCGTAAAAAATACAATTTAGTGGCCCTCAAGGACCTTTAGCTTGATGGTTTTGGCCCCAGTGCTGAGAGGTTAGGATACCTCTGCCTTAAAGCAGAAATCTGGAGTATTTTTTTTTTAGATTTTTTTTAGAAATCTGTAAAAGTGACGACTTACTGCAATAAAATGTAGGCAATACGTTATTTTTTCTTAGCTAAGCCCACTCCATCCCATAGAGCGGGGCTATTCAAGTTCGGGCCTCAAGGGCCAGTATCCAGCATGTTTTGGTGGTTTCTCTGGTCCAACACATTAGATTAAGTGGTTGAGTCACCTGTGCAGCGGCTCATCTGGCTCTGCAGAAGCCTGTTAACATCCTGCTGATTGAAACCAGGTGTCTTGAAGCAGGGTTAAAACTAAAACATGCTGCAAACCGGCCCTCGAGGACCAGAATTGAATAGCCCTGCCGTAGAGCCACGTGCAATTTGAATTGAGCACCACTCAGCATTAGTGTTAGACATCAGCTTACATACATATGTCAGTAATAGAGCATTCTTGAGCATTTGCAGAAGTAGCTAGCTAGCTAGTAGTTATTTTTTTAAAGTAATGAATAAACAGCAATTTGTTTTAGCTCTGTTGGCTAGAGGTGAGCATTCACAAACGAGAGTCGTTGCTTTTAGCCGTAATCATTGAAGAAGAGAGAGGGGCTTAAGGTGCAGTACATTTTTCCATCTCTAGATGGTGCCCTGTGGCAAAAACTCTGGATTTCTGCTTTAAAGGGATAGTCTGAATAATTTCAAGAAAGAAAGATTATGAACAATATGTTGAAGACAAAGCTTTGTACGAATACAGGAAATGCATCCATGTTAATGGAGGTAATGCACACACCATGTGTTTTTATTTATCATGTCTGTTTTTGTCTAAACTGAGGAGTTATCTTCTTCCTGCAGTTGCTTCCTATGTTTGTTGTGTCCTCTGTATCTCCAGAGTTGGCCTCTGTCAGGAAGACATCTGATATGATGTATTTGTCTTCATCTAAGAACCCGTAGACCCCTCTTCACAACTAGAGCATGCATGACGCCACACGTTTGAGAAATTACCAGACCTAATTAAAGATCTTCTCTCACTCCCAGATGATTACTTACACTGATTCCCCCTGTGGCCGCTGGGATTTTCTACTTCCTGTCTTTGTCTCTTCAGGCACGTGGAACGGCACCACCAAGGTGGCCATAAAGACGCTGAAGCCGGGCACCATGTCGCCCGAGGCCTTCCTCCAGGAGGCTCAGATCATGAAGAAGCTCAGGCACGACAAACTCGTGCCTCTTTACGCAGTCGTGTCCGAGGAACCCATCTATATAGTCACAGAGTACATGTCTAAAGGTACCTGACTTCCTACTGAGGAGCTACAGTGCAAACTTGCATGTTTAAGAGTTTTATCCTTCAGAAGATAACAGCTCAGCTGTTTGGGACTAGATGATCCTGAAAATTGTAAATTTTATGGGCATTTTAGTTAATATGCTGCACAGATTGAGGGTCTTTGGGTATCCCTTGTGGTTCCATTACGTCTTGAACAAAAAAATTGCAGCAGTTTTGTGCAAGCTGTTCGTAGATTCTGCTGCAATGCTTTTTTTGTAGTTTTATGAGTATTTAGATTTGTGTGTGAAGAAATGACGTAAACTCCTGTATAAAAGCGTGTGGTTTGGATTAGTTATTGCTGTGAATCTCAGAGGTAATCACTGTCAGAGTCCGTGTTTTATCCTCTTTAATTAAAGCTACACTACTTCAGCGATCCATCTGTGCTCAAATAAAATCTGAGGCATTGTGACACATAAATATCTTGTAAAATCTTAAATATTTCTTATTTTACAGGAAGTTTGCTTGACTTCATTAAAGAAGGTGATGGTAAATTCTTGACACTTGTCACGCTGGTGGATATGGCAGCAAAGGTGAAACAAATACTTGCATTTTTTCCTTATAAGTACTGATTTATTTTATCTGTGATGTCGTGTAGAGATCTATTTAAAGCTTCAGGGTTTTACAAAAAGACGCAGAGCTCCAACATCTTCTCCCCTGACAGCTTTTCTTTGATTTGTTTTTGTTGTTTTTTTTGCTTTTTTTTTTGTCAGACAAAAGTTCAAAGCATGAGAAGCTAAAGATTGCTTGTCAAATGTTTTATTTTTAGATTGCAGATGGGATGGCGTTCATTGAGAGGATGAATTACATTCACAGAGATCTGCGTGCAGCAAATATACTGGTGGGAGAGAACCTGGCGTGTAAAATCGCCGACTTCGGTCTGGCCAGGTTGATAGAAGACAACGAGTACACAGCGAGGCAAGGTTTGTACAAATAAATGCACACAGACAGGTCACTGGTGATTTAGGTGTCAGAGTAGAAATGGAAAAGAGCCACGACCTCACAAATAGGTTCAATCCCAGTTGCCATGGTGAGTCAGGCTAACAGCGGAAACCAGATGTTTCTATTTGCTCTGATGTGTTCCACTCAGGGCTCATCTCACTTGTTACCGACTCAAACACTTTTGTTTACACTTCTTTAACAATAAGCATTAACAAAAAATACATTTAAACGAGATGTAAGAAAATATTGATACGCACTGAATTATTGCAATTTTTTGAGTTATGATACTGCAGTTTATCAACTTTTCACTGAGAATCTAAATGCAAACATTTACTGTTTCTTTTTGTGTGGTGCAATTCAAACTCTGACTGCGAGGTTGCAGTAGCTTATGCCGACTTTATTCTGATATAACAACAAGATCTCACACAAATATTGGAAGTGTCATGGAAGTGTCTGGCCTGAGTTTTCTAATTTAATTCAGTCTAAAAACTGCAAATATTGTCTGGCTTTTAGAATTGCTATTTAACGTATCATCTTTTCTGTACTGTAATATTTATCAAATCACTAGATTCTTGCCAATACCCATCCCTATCATTTAATAAGTAATTTAAGCTGCATTTTTATCTGAATACAGACAGATTTTTTCTCTAATTCCAGAGATTTGGACTAATAAATGGCCATAAAAACTACCGGTATGCATTGGAGTTTAAGAAGTAGTCACGGTAGGCAGAGAGGAAAAATGTACAAGTGCCAGGACTGTGTATTGGTGCGTACCAGTCCATTTGTTATATCACAGCTGAAGACACTAGTTACACTCAGACTTGTTGTTGTTAGAAAAAGTAAACAAAATCAGCCCTGAAATTGTGTTTTAACACATCTCAGTAGAAAAATATTTGTAACAATCAACTAAAATGCATCAAATGCTAGCTACATGTTTCATACAAGCAGCATATTCCTTTCTTTTCTCTGACTGTACTCTTTTGCAGATGATATGAGGTTCTATGTAACAGGTGCAAGTAGTAACCTGGGCTCTTTCAATCCCTTCGTAAAATTCTAAATGCATTTTAAAAACGATTTCAGCCATAAAGAAGGAGGCTTAGGCTAACGTTTTCATTGGTAAAAATGTAAAACCGCCCCCTCCATGTTTCGAATGAGTCTTTGCACCAGAGAAGGATAAATATCCTGGTGTCATGTTCATGACTGACAGAGTAGGAGGTGGAATGATGGATCAAGGCTTTTCTTGCTGTAATGAGGGCGTTGATTTTCCTCAAGTACATATTCAGAGTGGCTCGAATCTACCCTACATGGTTTGGGTGATTTTCCATTACAGCTGAGAAATGGTTCTAATGGGTAAGCTCGTCATAGCAAAGCAGACCAGAGAGTGTGAAAAGTCGCATGAGGTGATCTGTGCACAACATAAACACAACAAAATGCAGCAATGGAGGACATGATGATGTTGAACATTTTGCTTAGTCAGTGGCTTTTTGCCAGACTCTTAAATGAAGAGACCCAGAAAAGGCTATGGGCAGAGAGAACGAAAACTTTGGAGCACCCAGTGACTCCGCCCCTTAGCCAGTCAGTCAGTGTGGTTTGACATGAGCATTTAAGTCGAGCTATGGCACTAGTCAAGTTAACACCCAAACCAAAATGGGAGTCTTTATTCTAGTTTACATGTCCATCAGAAATAGATAAATGCATTAAACTCTGCGACGGTAGGTGGCAATGTGCGCCTATTTGTGTTGGTATTCTTCTGGTTGGCCCATAGAGTCCCACAAATAGTAAACCAACACTGACAGGAGTGCAGCAGACAGAGTAAAAGCTGGACGTTCACAACAATTGAAGACTGTACTGTTTGGTACGCACTGCCCTTTTTGATGGTGCAACATGGGTTAGATTATGGTGATGATATCAGCTTCTGCGGTCTTGTCACTTTCAGAAGGGGGAGTGCCCAAGTCATAGCTCAGCTAATCTGAGATGTAATTGTTTTTTTACTTTTTACTTAGTTATTAACTGAAACGGCACTAAGTCATGTTAAAGATAAGATAAGATATCTCAGCAAGTGGGGGATGGGCTCAAAGTAGAGATACTGCTCCTTCTCATCAAAAGCACTCAGCTGAGGTGGATCTGGTTTCTGATTAGGATGTTTTCTGGTCTCTTGGTTTCTAGGTATCTCCGAGGTTTTAGGTGAACTGACTTCACTTATTCATGTTTTATTCTTTTCAAACAACTTTTAAATCAAGGCAAATAGCTCAGGCAATCCCATTAGTGATTTCCCCCACTATACCCTCCTAAATCCAAACCCGTTACCTTATTTTCTAATTGCTGTACTGAAAGAGGATCCGCTCGAAAACAAGACGATACATCTCAAGCGGTTAATACTCTTGAAAAATAAGTGAACTAAAATAAATTACATAATAAATAATAATATAATAATAAATAACTAAATAAAATAAATACATTTTAAACAAATTTTAAATTAAGGCAAATAGCTCGAGCAATCCTATTAGTGATTTCCCCCCATTTTAACCTCCTCAATCCAAACTGTTATTATTGACTTCAAATACGAATGAAGTCATGATGGGATTCTAACAACCGCCCTCTTCTACACTCACAAAGGAGCCAAATTCCCCATCAAATGGACTGCGCCAGAGGCGGCGCTGTACGGACGCTTCACCATCAAGTCTGATGTCTGGTCCTTCGGGATCCTCCTCACCGAGCTTGTAACCAAAGGCAGAGTGCCCTACCCAGGTGAGTGGCATAGCTAACACACACACACACACACACACACACACACACACACACGCGCGCGCGCGCACACACACACACACACACACACACACACGCACACACACACACACACACACACACACACACACACACACACACACGCGCACACACACACACACACACACACACACACACACACACACACAGACAGACAGAGCTGGGGGTGTTTGTGGTTCATGACAGCTGTCTGGTGTTTTAAATGCTGCTGTGGTTATTTATGTCAGAGGATGAAGAGAAGCTGTCTGACATTGTCTGAACCTCTGTTTGATGCCTCTGCATGGCAGATACTGACACACACATTTACACACACAAATGGGCAGATTTGAGATTAACCAACCATCTGGTGGGGCGAAGCAAGGGCGCGGACGATCAGGAGACTGAACACCTCTGGCCATCTGCTGCTAGCTCCTGTAGTTTTGTCCACAAAACTCCTTTATTTTTCTGATTGAGTGCTGAAATAGTCAGACAGGAAACGATAAAGTAAAAAATAATAATAAACACAATCAATTTTTTGTCATTCTTTTATGTAAAGAAAACATTTGCTTGTTCAATCTTTTAACATGTGAAGTTCTACATTTTCCTTTACTGTCAATCGTAAAAAATAATTTTGTTAGAATTACAAGGGAAAAGACCACAGCTGTGATTAAATTCACCTCACCTCACCTTCCTCCGCTCATCTGGGGTCCGGGTCGTGGGGGCAGCATCCCAAGTAGGGCCTCCCAGGCAATCCTCTCCCCGGCCAAGTCTACCAGCTCCTCAGCTGGAACACCCAGGCGTTCCCTGGCCAACTTAGAGATGTATTTCCTCCAGGTAGTCCTATAGGTCAACCCGGGGGCCTCCTGCCAGTAGAACATCACCTACAATCTTCTGGGGCTGATCTGTAGCAACAGCTACGAAACTCAAGGAACGGTAGTGAGAAACTCACTCAGTTTTGAAAATGGGCTCCAGTACTCAAATTTGACCACGGGATGGCATTCTTACTTCATTCCTACATAATGCACCTTTAAAGAGAACCAGAATCTAAAAAAATTTAACTATTTTGTTTATCTTATTTTTTTGAGAATAACAAGCATCAGCAGCTCAGATCTGCACAAGAACCAGAAATTGGGTTTGGCCCTCGAAACCCTTTAAATTTATACCTTTCAGTACTCAGGAATAATCTAAATGAAGCTAAATTAGGCTAAATGATTTTTTTTGTTGATTTTTTTCTTTTAATAAGCAGCCTCCATTCACTGTAATCTCTTACTGTCCTCAGGTATGGTGAACCGGGAGGTTCTGGAGCAGGTGGAGCGAGGCTACCGAATGCCCTGCCCTCAGGGCTGCCCCGAGTCTCTGCATGACATGATGGGGCTCTGCTGGAAGAAGGAGCCAGACGAGAGGCCCACCTTCGAGTACCTGCAGTCCTTCCTGGAGGATTATTTCACCGCCACAGAGCCTCAGTACCAACCTGGAGAAAACCTATAGCCTGAGGGTTTAAAGTGCACACGAGTCTGTAGAAGTCTGTGTCAGTCTCACTTCACACATTTGTTTGGGTTTATTTTCCAGTTCAGTTATAAGTTTCACGTATTTGTCTATTTTTGTTTTATCTGCTGGTACTACAAACAGTTGCTGTGGACTTTTATAGCTTCATATGTGCATTTGGAAAAGACAGCTTAAACCGTTGTGGTTTCGGCCACACCTGGTCCTGTTTTAAATACATTTCATGTGGGACATATTTCATAATATCATGCTGTGTTTCTTTACAATAAGCTGTGATTTAGCCTTCAAGAAAAGCCTAAATTGGCCTTTTATGTGATTTATTGTGTAAATCTTATGCTCATTTTCCAATAATAAGGAAATGTCAGTAATTAAATCATTATTCAAAATATTTTGATAAACAAAGGTGGCTTTTACTTTTAACTACAAACGATTGGAAAGTGTAAATCAAATCCTGCAACATTTAAAGTGATTTTTTAGCCATTTTGAAGCGTTTCTCTGTGTAAATGTTTCAATGATTATAATTTTACCTTTAGAGCTTTCTAAGGAATTTTAAAAAATATAATTAGTTGGTTCTAGATGGAAAAATATAGAGAAATGTTCTTTTGATGCAACATTTTTTATTGTAGGTGATATTTAAAAACAAGATTCCATGCTACTTTGAAATTAAGAGCAATTGCATGAAATTCTGAAAACAGGTTTTTTTTTGGTCATGGCTGTATTCAGACTAGCCATTAGCTCATCAGTCCGGTGCGATGTAAAAGCTATTTCTCCAAACAGAGGTTGTTCAGGAAACTACCTAGTAGTTATTCATGATTATACACAATGACACATCAAGATGACTGAATAATACCTTTAATGCATTTCATATGTGCAACTTGTGCGACTGTGACATTGTCTTATCTGTGTTTATTTCAACATATTTGTTTGTAACACATGGACATTGTCATTTCTTTTGTGTCTCCCACTTTTATCCTTACAGTCACTCTATAGTGTTACTACTTTGTTTCATTATTTTATCAGTAATTAAACAAATGGATTTATGACCATTCGTCAGAACATCGTGGCATGCAGAGCTGCTTCCAGACAAGCACGAAGACGAATTTATGGACAACTATTTTTCAAGTTAGGAAAAACTTGATTTTTTTTATCAGCATCTTTGCTGCAGAACACTATGACTCATCTGTTCATGTAATGAAATGGACTCTACAAATTCTAGGATGGCCATTCTAAAAACTTTTTGTTTATATTTTGCTCCTTAATGATGTAATCGGGACTTTTTACCATGAGAACTGAACATAGAGCCTGAAAAATGGCTTTGTACATTATAAAATCATCATTTTTTATATATGATTGTTGATATAATTGAAAATAAAACATGTAAAATGCATTAAGGGGGAAATTGTGGGAATTATGTGGAATTTGTACAATAAAAACGTGATTTTACCATGTTTAGAAGTGCGTTGGTGTGTTTCTTTAATTTTAGTTTGCCCTGACCACGTGAAGTGGGCGGGGTCAGCTTGATCAGATGTGTTTCCGAAGTTCCAAACTAGTGTTTTATTAAAAAAATGTTGCACAAGATAATTAATTTGAGTGTGAAAGATGTGCGCTTTCCCACGTCTTTGGAGCAGCACGGCTCAGATGCGATGGTAAGAAGTTTCTGCACAAAATAAACGAGTGGAAAGAAGTGTTTCTCCAGACAGAAACGAGGTCTTCTTGGTTTTTGTGTCCGTCAATGCAGCACACAGATCCGGATTACTCTGCTGCGTATGTGGTTCTGGACACGGATAGCGGACTGAAAGGGTTCGGCCTCACGTTCACTTTGGGGAAAGGAACAGAAATCGGTAAGAGATCCGGTACGGGAAGCAAACCACCGCGTAGCTTCTAGGTGGTGTGTTCAAGGACTCAGCACAAGCTCGGAATTTATAGCTATTGAAACCAAAGACAAATTGAGTCTACAGAACAACTATCTGACCCAACATCAAGAAAAATACTAAAAATAGTAACAACTATGTTTCAAATGTGAGACAAAACTGTAAACTAAACTATTTTGATTCAAACATTTGGTGTCAAAATAAGTTATAACGCATGTTGAACATAATGACCTGATTTAAAATGAACTAAAAATGCAAATAACATCAATTATTTGCTGAATAATATTATAATTTATTTTTCTAAAAAAATAATAATAATTTATTTTTCTAAAAAAATCACTTTATCATTAACTTTGAAAAGGTAGTGTGAATTACCAACAAATCTGATCTGAAATCTGAATTACCAACAAATACCAAAAGGACATGCAAAACTAGTTCAATGAGTTAAAATAGAGGCTTCTGAAAGAATAATACAAATATATTTTAGGGTCATGAGAGCTAAGTAAGAATAAATACAATATAAATGTATGTGATTTTTATTTACTTTTAAACTATTCCCACTTTTAGTTTTCATGATTGTACCTTTAAAATGGTGTATGTTTATATGCCTCCTTCATTTAATTAGAATACATAAAATATTGTCATCTTGAACAACAAACAATTGTTCCAGTACTAAATAAAACCATATCCAAGTTCCTTAAAATGCAGTTATTTATTTATTACTGACCCTAAAGGACACATTTACCGTCTTTATGCTGATTTTATACTAAGCCTACACCCCCATCTGGTGGTCAACCAATGGAATTTCACCTATTCTATTTTCAGACTGTTGAATAATGAATTTTAGAGCCTCTCTGAATGTATGAATGAATGCAGTATTATAAAACAGTACTTCTATAAATGTTGTCTTTGTGAGATCGTGTATTGAATATTTATGGTTATGTGGAAGTTGTGTATCTTCTTTAAAGGCAGATGTTGTCTTTGTTTGCCTGAACGCTACAGTGGTTTGTGCCGTCAAGGCTCTGGAAGGACTGGTTGCTGGGAAATCTTTGCAGGAGATTGTGAGCAACTTTCGTGACTTTTACCGCCTGCTGACCAGTGATGGCCAAATGAGATGGGTAAGAGCAGATGGGTGGACTTTTGATTTGGTCCTAATCAACCTCCAGGCTCAGAGTTTCAAGCCTACATTGAAAGATTAAAAAAAGCATTTTATTTGTTTTGAGTTATGGTTTAGATTAGAAAGTCCTGCCTCATTTATGTTTTAAAGGGGACATATTATGACTTTTTATTTAAGTTATAATATTCTATGGTTGATACAAAACATGTCCATGTTTTTAACACACAATCTTTCTCATGTAAATTAATTACTGGAATTTTATTCTTGACATTTGCAATATCTTCCGGAATGAGCCGATCAGGGCTCTATCAAGCTGGAGCTGGCCACACCCACTCATCACATCCTCAGGCTGCAGTAGAGCCGCTGCTCCTCAGCAGCAGCTCTGTCTTGCACGTGAGAGGTGGTTCTATTCTGATTTTCCCATTTGTGACATCGTAAACAGGGACTTTTTGAAACAGATTAAAATTACACTCACAGAACATGGATGAATGTTTTTCTTTCACATTGGGAGTGTTTATAGAGGCAGCAGAGAGACACGTGGCAGCACAAAAAGATTAAAAGGTTTAGATTTGCATAAATGTTCTATTAAAATACTTTATTTACTGCAAGGTGTCCTCTTCTTTCTGGAATCTAGTTAATGTGTGATACTATATCACATAGTAATTTACATATTAACTTTAAACTCTATTAAAGCGTTGAAGGTAATATTTATGATGGATAACTATTTGCTCATTGTGAGGAAAGAGAAATGCTACAACGCAAGGCTTTTTGGCTCAATGAGTCGAGCTGCTGATTTTATTATCCCAACAGGAAACTGGGAAAAATACTTTATAATAAAAGCACTGGGCACATGCATGTTCTGTACAAAAGCATAGAAAAGAACTTTACCACTCACAACAATTGAAGATCAATGTTGTAAAATTGCTAACAATGCTACAGAGTTCTAGTCTAATCAGCCTGTTACTTTTATCCTTTTTCAGTATTTTACTTTGGTGAACTCCTTGTTAAAAATTTCCACCTGAAAATATGAGAATTATTCACTGCACAAATCATTATGAAACCAAACTATGTATGATATTTTCTATTCAAATACTGGAACATTGAATCAGTTAAAGGCATGTATGCAACTTTTTCATATTTTAAATCATTTTCTTTAGCCAGTTTGTGTTAAAATGTCCATTTACAGGATTAATGAAGTGTCAGACCCCTACCACCCTCTGTGTCCAGAATACCGCACTTGCAACTTCAGAGTACCAGTGCGGTCCCTGTTGGATTTAGTAAAGTGGAGCTGACATGCCTGTCGCAGGAGTCTGCTTCCAGCATGTCTCCTGCATGTTTTTAGGTTGGGAACGCAGCTGATTGGTTTGCTTTAGTGATGAATCGCTCCAGTAGAAACTAACGGAGGCTGAGGAGACATTTCAGCAGTTAGACTGAGGTGCTAAAAAGACAAAAGCACGGCGAGGAGATGAGTTTCTCTTTTGGTTTTACTAACTGGACACTATGGGGTGCTGAAAGCAAGCCCAAACTGCAAAGTATCCCTTTAAAGAAATGCTAACAGCAGCTACAGAAATGTGTTCTCAGTTGGGTCCAGAGAAAGGTGTAATCCACCTGGCCACTGCTGCTGTCCTGAACGCTGTTTGGGACCTCTGGGCTCGAACGGAGAGCAAGGTGGGACAATTATTTATAATTTATTTATATACTGTATATATAAGTTTCTTTCACGAGTTTGACTCCTCATGAATAACGACTTAACAATATTTTCCTGCAGCCGCTGTGGAAGCTGCTTGTTGACATGGTGAGTCATAAATAAATTATCTCATGAATTTGCATCCGGGATGCTAACAGGAAGGGAAACGTCTTTGTCTCTTGTGTCCTTTCAGGATCCAAAGACGATCGTCTCCTGCATTGACTTCAGATACATCACTGATGTACTTACTGAGGAGGAAGCTCTGGGTACGACTTCCTTGTGGTTTAATTTTAGAGCAGATAACATCATTTTTCATGCATTATCTAACTTATTCTTTACTGATCCAGACATACTTGTGAAAGCAAAGGAGGGCAGACAACAGAGAGGTGGGTACACTGAGGAATCATTAATTTCATGTCCAAGTGGGATTTGAGTGAATTAATAGCCTCCTTAGATGCTAACTGGAGGGCTTTTGGCCAACACAAAAAGCCCCAAATGAGCTCCATTAAAGCTAATTTCCTCCCTTGGGATAATTTCTCTCACCTGCCAGAGGATCAGATGCTGAAGGAGGGTTATCCTGCCTACACCACCTCCTGTGCTTGGCTTGGATACTCAGACCAGCAGCTCAGACAGGTCTCTATAAAACACACATGCTGCATTCACCTTATATTTGGGTTTTAATGGTAGACAGGTTTTTGTAGCTTTGTACAGATGCACTTAAAAATGGTTGGACCAGGTTTAAGGTGAAGGTCGGTGCTGACTTGGAGGACGACATACGCAGATGTCGCCTAATCAGACAAATGATTGGACCCAATAACACCTTGGTAAGGATTGTTTCACCTCATTCTTGGAATGAAGTTTGAAAAGTATTCACCAGGTTGTTTTGTTTTTTGCGCTAGATGATGGATGCCAACCAGAGATGGGATGTAAATGAGGCTATCAGCTGGGTTTCCAGACTTGCTGAGGTCCAACCTCTTTGGATTGAGGAGCCCACATCTCCAGATGACATCCTGGGTCACGCTGCTATTTCTAAGGTCAGTTAGAAGGTTTTAGTCTGTAGGTTAGTGTTAATTAGAGAAGTCTGATATTATCTGTGAAAATTGGCTTTAAAATGTGATATCAGAAGTTATTATATCAGTTTTTACAAGGATGTCCGATATTTCTGACTAGTATTGGGAATAATGTGTAATGTCAGAAATTATCGGTATCGGTTTTAAACTTTTTTAAATGACACAACTTTTACATACCATGCACATATCGTACATCAAACCCTTCAGCTACATCTCCTCTGACTGAAAATGTCAAACTATGACAGAGCTGAGGGCTAGTTTTTGAAATATTTGTGTTTGTTTGGCCCAACTGGCCTGACTTAAATTGAAGTTAAAGTTTTAGTATGCATGATAGGAGGTGATAAATGATATTAATGATAAATGACATGCACTTTTATAGTACCTTTCAGAGTCAGAGCACTTCACAGCATTTTACACTACAGTGCGCCTTTCATCCATTCACACACACATTAAAACACTGATGGTGATGAGCTACAATGTAGCCACAGCTGCCACTCATGACAGATATGTGATGTTAGTTACTTAAAGTAATTTCATTTGATCTTATGGGGGCGCATAGTTTATGTTATTGGTTTGTGTCGGCATTGGAAATTAAGAATGTGACTATATCATATTGGACATCAGTAAAAAAAAAAGCTGATTAAAAAAGCTCTAAAATCAGGGGGAGCATGGGGGTGCTAGGGGAGCCCGACTCCCCTGATAGGGTTATGGGCACCCCCAGAATCCCTTGACTGACACACCTAGGGGGAGCCCAAAAAATGATCAAGTCCCCCTCCCTGCAGTTTTCACAGAGACAGGCAACACCCCCCATCAGGGAGTTTTAACAGTGATCGAACAGACGTACATCGGCATTCTCAAGGGGCTCCCCCCAGAAGCCTGTGTGTAATTCGAGCCCTGCCTAAGTTATTAAGATTTTTGTGTAACAGCCTGAACCTGGAGGGGCAGATTTAAAAAAAGAGCCTCAATAAAATACGTCCAAGTCTAATTTGAGTCTGGTTTTGTGCAAATGTAGCTTCTGTTGAATTTATCTTTCTAATTTCTCATCATTTCTAACAGTCTTTTAATCGTCTGGGTTTATTTTTGCAGGCTTTGGCTCCACTTGGGATTGGAGTGGCCACAGGCGAGCAGGTACCTTCATGGTTCAAGTATTACTGACTTAACTTATTTCTGGTTCGAATCAAGCTTTTTCTTCAGTGTCACAACAGGGTGATGTTCAAGCAGTTCCTCCAGGCTTCAGCGCTGCAGTTTGTGCAGATAGACAGCTGCAGACTGGGCAGTGTCAACGAAAACCTTGCTGTGCTGCTGATGGCCCACAAGTTCAAAGGTCAAATGTCACAGAAATGCAAACACTCCATATTAGAACATTTTTCTTTTGTACATAAGGCGCCACACAGTAAATGTATGCACTTGATTTTACCATTAAAAAGAAATGACTTGATTTGTTGAAAATGTAGAATTTATTAAGGACTTATGTGGGTTTATTCTTCCTGTTGACTAAATTCTTTGTATTAACATTTTTCATGATTTTTTTCAAGAACACGGGTTGTTGAAACACAGTTTTGCCCTTAAAATTAAAAAGATCCCCACTAAACAGCAAAAGAATAAATATTGGAATATTTTGGATTATTTAAACAGTGATTAGTGGATTTGTATTTCTTTTGTAGTTTTGATGCTATTTTTGTAAAGTAATTATGATGCGTTTTTTTCTGTAGTTCCTGTGTGTCCTCACGCCGGCGGAGTCGGCCTGTGTGAGCTCGTCCAGCATCTGATCCTGTTCGACTACATCTGTGTGTCGGCGAATCTCAACAACCGGTGAGAGTGGGAGGAATGAGTTTAATACCCAACACGCATTTTTTACTCATTACACCAACCCACAATGTTTTTAATTTTTTTACAGAATGTGTGAATATGTAGACCACCTTCATGAGCATTTCACCAGTCCAGTGGTGATACAGAACGCTCACTACATGCCCCCAAAGGTGGGGATTACTAAAACCCCACAAATTTATTTACAGATTCTGTTTCAGATTAAACTGTATTGTGTGTGTGTGTGTGTGTGTGTGTGTGTGTGTGTGTGTGTGTGTGTGTGTGTGTGTGTGTGTGTGTGTGTGTGTGTGTGTGTGTGTGTGTAATGCTTTCTGATTTTAGGATCCGGGATATTCCTGTGAGATGATGGAGACGTCGGTAAAGACACACCAGTACCCTGAAGGAGAAGTTTGGAAGCAAGTTCAAATAGAGGATTAAAGATGGGCTACTAAAACATTGTTCAGATCTTTGTGATCTAATGTTTAATCTGATGCAAAAAGCGTTTTTAATTTTGGAGAAACATTCATTTTGACCTGATTGACAAGCTAACGGCTAGCCTGGGAACAAACTGTTTCCATCTTTAATCTCAAGAGTTTTATTGTAGTCTGAACAAATGTTGAATAAAAATTTTACTAGCTTTTATCATATTAGTTTCACATTACATGGTCATTCTAGCAGAAATACCTCTAGTGGGATTTCCCCAGGCTAAACAGGAAGTGCAAACAGTAGCAGCTACTATTAGCATTTGCAAATAACCACAAAATTTAAAATAATCACATAACATAAAATTGACAGCTATGCACAGAACGAATTAAACAAATTTTATGAATCCTTTTTTAAAAGGATGAAACTAGTTTTAAGACAGGAGTGTAGGACTGACCAACATTCCCTATAAACAACATCACAGTATTGTAATATAAGTTTCAGTGGGAGCACGGGCAGAATATCTTACCCTCCAGTCAGAACCTAAAAACAGCACCAGTAGGCAGCAATTTACCAAAAGTATCCTTTATTAACACAACCAACAATAAAACACTACGCCTGAGTTCCTTCACGATTAAACCAGCTGTTCAGCATAAGTAAAATCAAGCAAGCGGGTACTTGGCTGGCCCAGTCGATGCGAACCCCTCCCCGGGGTCTGAGCTTCCGACATCGTCAAACGCCCCGGGGTTCAACTTGCGAGGACGGCGGGTGAGTCCACGGCTCAGGTCCAGCTGCCAGAGTTTGCGGCGGCAGATGTCGGCGTGGTCTCGGCACCCAACTACTCCCAGCCCTCACTACCTAAAGAAGGCGTCAAGCCTCCCCTCCTAGCGCTGGAACACTGCCCACCTACTCGGCTGTCTTCATCGCCAGCAGTCCTAACCAACTGCGAACGATCCCACCCCCCAGAACCGGGTGCCACAATGACAGGTCGACCACACACACGCCTTGGTAGATCTGCCACCCTTTTCTCCTCTCCGGCCTCATTACGCCGGACAAGCACCAGCCGGCGTCCAGTCGCCATGCCCCCAGAATCGGGCAACTCCCGTCTTCTGTCCTCCACAGTATAGTTTACCTAGATGATGATCAATGAATAAATCCGTGTATGCACAATAAAATTTGTGCACTAGATGGGGCTGTCACATTATTCAATACATTTTTGTTTATTCCCAGCTCTACAGGAGCGTTAGCTTTTAGCCTACCTTAGCATTAGCATACAAACAATTCTAACATGTGTTCAACTCATCTTTGTTACGTTCACCGTTTCTTACATTATTCTACTCATTTCAAATAGCTTTTCATCACAGCCTTTATAGTGACCCCCACTACGGCAACATCAATGACTGCTTCAGTTTCAGTCACGGGACAAAATGTTTAACACTAATTAGTAAAGCAAGAATCCCTTCTAAACCATTGTTATTGTGGCAGTGTGTGTCCTGTCAGTGTCCCGATTGATCATGCGCCCTGGCTATTTGGCCAAGGGGATGTCCCTTTGGCTGACTGGTTAGAGCGTATGACTCTCACCCGGGAGTCTGGAGATCGAATCCCGCCCGGGCCCTCGTTTATCCACCTTGCCACATTTGGCGTTGTTGGCAGGATCCATGTAGTACTTTCAAGTAGGTCCATGGATGTGAAGTTTGTGGCACCCTGCGCAGGAGCACGCGGACGTGCTTGTGGAAAGAGGGGGGAAGATGTGGCAGTGTGAGTGTCCTGTCAGTGTCCCGATTGATCATGCACCCTGGCTACTTGGCCAAGGGGATGTCCCTTTGGCTGACTGGTTAGAGCGTATGACTCTCACCCGGGAGTCTAGGGATCGAATCCCGCCCCGGGAGTCTGGGGATCGAATCCCGCCCCGGGAGTCTGGGGATCGAATCCCGCCCCGGGAGTCTGGGGATCGAATCCCGTCCCGGGAGTCTGGGGATCGAATCCCGCCCGGGCCCTCGTTTATCCACCTTGCCACATTATGTTTCCTGTTTAGTGTTTGACCATAAAGCTAATCTTCCTAAAAATTATGTGCAAAAAAATAAAAATAATACCGACCAAGATTCAGTTTTTTTATTTACAGAATTATATTAAAAAATACAGAAAATTCGACATTTAAGCAACAGCAGGAAGAAAACATTCTGGGACAAATTGATCTTAAGCTACTTCCTGTAACTTAGGAAAACATTTCAAACACATGCAGTTCTTGCTAAAAAGACCATACATTTAAAGATAATAATACTAGTTTGTGTGTTTTAGACTGCCATCTGCATCTTGATGGTGGGATGAGGGTTGTAGTCACAGATCTCAAAGTCGTCCGCCTGGAAATCATCGATACTTTCAACCTTTCTCTTGATTTTCATTGTTGGGAAAGAACGTATCTCTCTGAGGAGCTGCAGATTTACAAAGTTTGTGTGAGTTTCAAATGACAAAAGAAAGAGTGTTTTTTTTTTTTTTGTTTTCATGCAAACCTGCTCTTTTAGAGGCTCAATATGGTTGACGTAGACATGAGCGTCACCCAGAGTATGAACAAAGTCCCCCGGCTGAAAAATGAGAAAACAAAGGTTCATTGGTAACTAGGGATGGGAACCTTTGACATTTAAATCAATTCGGTACTAATTCCCGGTACCTAGGAATCAATACCGGTACTTAACGGTACCAATTTGAGATACTTTTGAGTGTTTAATATTTTAATTGTCTTTTATAATAAAATATATATTTTTCTCAATATATAACCATATTTGATACATTTCACGATAAATAACATTCAACTGTTTGTATTTTAACATCGTCCTTGTAGTTTTATAAGCTGATAATTAAACTGAAGCAAACATCTTTACTGTGAACTAAATTTACTGTGAATCTTCATTCCTTTTGCCGCCCTTTTTCTTTGATTTTTCCTACTGGGAAGTTAGAATTTCCGAGGAGAAAGCGAACGCACCATTAGCGGAAGGAAAGCTAACAAATCAAGCTAACGTTATCTTACACATTTTACCTACCGGAGCAGGTTAAGATGAGGATGTCTCACTTAGATCGTTGTCGCTGGTTTCATCATCACCCAGTTATCCATCACATTTAGTGAAGTGGACCCAAGCTTTAGCGTGCGTTCTTTCTACCATGCTGCTCTGTTTACAACTCGCTCGCCGCGACCGACGACATAACGCTCTTGCAGCTGTCTAGGCAAGTTCTCGTTATGAAGGACGGGTACCGAAACGAGGCACTGTTTCAAATGACATGAATCGGTGCTCAGTCGGTACTATGGAATTCGATCGGTATCTTAAAAAGTACAGAATTCGGTACCCATTGCTATTGGTAACTGAGGATTAAGCCTGGCAGGGGGCTTTAGCAGCTTTACCTTGAGTCCTGTAATGTGAGCGATCATGTAGGTGAGAAGAGCATAGCTGGCGATGTTGAACGGCACCCCAAGACCCATATCGGCCGATCGCTGGTACAGCTGACAGGACAGCTCGCCATCACAGACGTAGAACTGGCACAGAGCGTGGCACGGGGGCAGAGCCATGAGGGGGAGGTCTGGAAAAACACGTGTTTAAACGTAGAATCTGAATCTGGCGTTTAAAAACAACTTCAGGAAGTGTTCTGACCTTTAGGGTTCCAAGCACACATGATGATCCGCCGGTCTTCTGGGTTTTTCCTGATGGTATCAATGACTTTCTGCAGCTGGTCGACACCCTGCCCTGTGTAATCTGTCGGGGGAATCACTAAATTTAGCTTTATGCTCTCAATGCAGGAGGAGGGACTGAAGCCATGCTACAAGAATAAACAGGGTCAAAAACAGGATGTAAGCTTATCTTTTTAATGCTTTAGTAAGAAAACGTGGTGTTTTAACTTTACCAAGGTCAAATGGTAAATGGCCTGTATTTGTATAGCGCCTTCTTAGGGTTCTACGACCCCCCAAGGCGCTTCACAACGCAAATCGAGGGCAAAATACAACAAAAAGATTACTTTGGATTCAGAGCAAATAATTTGGCATTATGTTTGATTTGACTGGCCAAACAAACTGGGACATTATGATTTATGTGTAGGGTAAGGTTTACTAAATGGTAAAACCACGCCATCTAGTGGTGGAAATTAGCACCTGCATATAAGTGTAAAGATTTTCTCTGTAAACTCCATCAATCGAAAAGAAAATTCTTTTCCAAATACAGAATAAGCAAAAAATAATTTCAGCGATCTACACCCTGACTGACTGACACCAAACGCCGGAAGTGCTTACCTGTGTGCATATCTTTGTACTCTGCACCAAAGTGCCTCCACTGGAAACCGTACACAGGTCCCAGATCCCCCTCCTCTCTGTCCGTGAAGCCCAGTTTGTCCAGAAAGGCCCGGGACCCGTTGGCATCCCAAATCCTCACACCTTTGTCTGACAGCTCCTTGGCATTTGTGGACCCCTGTCACGCAACAAGCCGGTGTTAAAGCCTGATTAATGTGCAAAACAAAGTGGGATTTCTCCATCAGCTTTACCTTAATAAACCACAGCAGTTCTTCCAGGATCCCTTTCCAGAAAACTCTTTTGGTGGTCAGTAAAGGAAACTGGTCTACAAATACAAAACCAGTTCAGATCGTTCAGATGCTGTTTAGAAACCATTTCAAGCACGTGCTTATGAATTCAAACGAGAGGATTAGTTTTGCCTCATTATGTTGCATTTCTAACCAATGAGAGGAAAATCTGTCAGATAAACTGTGAGCTGTACCGCGAAGGCAGTATCTGACTTGAGCACCGAACACAGAGACGACTCCGGTTCCGGTTCTGTCTCCCTTCCTGCCGCCGTTCTGAATTATGTGCTCGACCAAATCCAGGTACCCGCGTTCATCGCACAGAAAGCCTGATTTATTCCTTCTCTCCGCCGCCTGCTTCTCCGCATTGTCACAAGCCGCGTCCCGCTGCATCTCTCCCGTGTGGATATCAGAAGTGGCGGGCATTTGTAACAAGCTTATCACTGTTTCAGGAGCAACAATGTTGCTAGTGCACCTTCCCGGGTGAAAAGTGATACAAGACACGCCCCGTTTTTGAGAGCACATTTCTAAATCTCGCGTGAGTTTGGGAAAGGGCGCGAGTTTAGTCGATTTTTCAAAAACCTTTATTGATATATCACCCAAACAAAACATGAGCGTCACCAAAACGTGGACACCTCATTGGACGCTGGGAAGCGTAACAGCTTCGTCGCCATATTAGATGGGTCTCCTCACTCGCCAAAGTCCGTTTTTGTGCAACATATGGTTGCAACAACCAGTGTAACGGAAGCTCCTTTCATAGTTAATTTAACAAAGCGGAAGTTTGTAAATGTTAAGTTAATTGTTCAAATTTTAATCAAATCATTTTTGATCTGCTCTCTTTGATCAGTTCCTCCTTCCAAAGTGATAACAATCCAAGAGCCTGACTTTGTATTCTGAAGCGTTTAAACTTGCCGCACCTGCTGAACCATTATGGAAAATGAAACCACTAACAGGGGTAAACATTAAACTATAGGAACAGATAATAATAATAATCTAACATTAAAATCTTCTGCTGAACGTGCACAAAACCTTGAACCTGAACAAGCTGGTTGCTGTGAACTATTGTCAAAAACTGGCAATTGTGAGTGATCCCTTCTCGTGTCTGCACCCCAGCGACCTTAGATCTTCATATCAATAAAGGAGGCAGCCATTTCTTATCATAAAAATGGCGAATCGGGAAACATATAAAGGCTGAAAGGAGGTAAAAATAAGTGCACCACATTAATGTAACATTCTATGAACAAAATGTCCACAAGGGGGCATAAGTCCCCAAACTTTCATTAGGAAGCAATTTTAATATGTTTACAACATTCAAAAGCTCAGATGTGAATGACAGCAATGATTTATAGCAGCTGTTGAATTACAACATTCAAGTGCACACGCACAATTATCAAAATAAACTAATTATGACTAATGCAGCAAGTGAATTGTATTTGTGGGGAAAAGTGCACATTACTGTAATAACAAATAAGTGTAAAATGCTAAGAATGAACATTTGGATATTTGTTTGGCTAATGGGGCGGGTGGTTTAAACTGAAGCATTTGTAAATATTTGTTTGTATCTTTGCTTCCTATGGGGTCATTTGAAATGTTGTGCAGTTGTGCAGCAAAACTCATTCAGAGAAGCATAAAGCAGAGGCCCATCATGTGATTCTTTGCAAAACTCAAATTAAAAAGTGTAAGGTAAGTTTTTCCTTTGAGAAACTTGAAAATATCAAAATCCACGGGGAAAGCTGCAGGGTTTGAGGAAAGAAATCATCCTGTTTCTCAAAGGAAATTCTGTTTTATGAATCAGTACAGCAGCACTGATCCTATTTTATTTCCATTGGTAAGTCACTGCATCCTTACAGATCGGATTACGACGGGTCTCACATGCATACCTGTCTGCAGAGCTCTCCTCAGGTAAAAACCTTCTGCTCTAATCTCCTCCAGACTTACGTTAAGCCTCGGCCTCCTGCAGAGACCCAGCACCTCCTTCCTCTGTCTCAGACAGCTAATAAGCTCTGTGTTGGGGGCCAAAAAACAAAAAACTCACCCAGACGTATTACTTGTAAAGATGGAAACTTGTTCTTTAGAGTCTTTTCAGTCTTTCTACCTCTACAGGCAGCCCACATATAAAATAAATGTTCAGTGGCAAACAGAGCTGGGCAATCCACATCGGGAGCAGGCCTGGATCTGTTCTGGGCCGTGTCACAGTTTACAACCACAAATGAAATCCTCTGGCTAAATATTGTTTTTGAGCTTTTTGTGTTGCAACAAAAATGTTAAAATAACTCAAACCACCAAAGATAAACTCCAGAGGAGGCAGATCTGTCGATCTGGAGGTCAACACTTCACATCTGATGTTCAGTGTTTTTATTTTCAGTCACTTTGTTTTTACCTCCTGTCATCTTGCCCATAAAGAAAGTCTTAAAAATGTAGAGTTTTGTGCACGAGGACCTAAAAACACAACAGAATTCTAACCTCAGATGTCCAAAGCCACACAAAGATTCCACTATTTAATCAACAAATACTGAGCCAAAGCGGAAAAGCTGTATGTGGAGAACAACGAGCCCACCCTTTCTGCCGGATTTATAAGGGAATGTATCAGTCAGGTGCAGCTGATAGAGGCCACACACTCGTTACCGCAATGAATCTGCAGTGGTCTCTAGAATGAATTAATGCCTTGTAAGTCGTTTTCTGTTCAAAGAAGCTCGGACGCTCCCGTTTCAGGAACTAGAAGTTAGCCAGAGGAGTAGGGGCCAGGTTTTATAGTCTTACTCGTTAATATTCATGATATGTGAACATCTCGCCTCTGATTCGCTAACAGCAACGCAACTCTTCTGCTGCTGCCTTTCTTTCAGCTGCTAATGCAGGAAATAGGGATAGAGGATCATCTTCAGTTGAAACTCAGAGCGACCTCTACTGCACGCTGGAAGCATCGGCGGCATGGAGCGGCAGCGAAATGTCACTGCTTCAAATAGAATCCATTCACGTCTATGGAGGTGAATCAAACCAGGTGCGATGAGATAATTTTCAGACGCATCCCAGAAGTAGCACGTCGCGCCACTTTGCTAAAGATATGATCGAGTTCTTTTTTTTTGCCGCTCAGTTAACATATTGCAGCAATGGGACTTCACATCTATCTAGATTACATCAATACAAGTAACCTAACAGCTTAGTTCCTCCCTGCATCGTTCCAGAAGTGCAGCAGTGTTTTTTTTCCATGGCTTTAATCCTGGCAGTGGAGAGAAACATCATATATGACATTAAACAACAATATCAAAGGTGATTTCCTTCTTTTGGGTTTATTGGCGGATGAACTCTTGGTTTTGTGATCTTGCGAATCGAGCGAGGAGCACAGCGGACAAGTCGCTTTGCGGCTGAGACGCTCCCGGTGTCCACTGGGGGACAACGATTGGCGAGAGTAAACCTTTCCGCTGCCGTTCAGCACCGCTGATGCTTCCAGTGTGCAGAAGGGGTGATCGATTGTATTTCAAACACAACAAGCATTAAAGTTTCTCAGTTGACCTCACCTTTAACAGGTCACCAGTGTGACTGCTTCTATAAAAAACAGACTTTTTTGTCTGGAGCATACAGGCGTGTGTTGACAAAAGTAGCAAAGAAATCAACAATTACCTTAGAGAAGCAGCTGTGCTGCTCATAAATCTGTGAAGGGTTAAACGTAATTTCTACTCTGTTTTGGCCCCTTTTCTGCAGAGTGGACGTTCATTCCCAAGAAGAAAATTTTTAAGATAACTGAAGATTTTCACAAAAATGGAAATCCCAGCGAGTTCCCCACACAAATCAGAAAAGTTGGGGCAAAAACGGAGAGAAAAAATTAATCTATACCTCAGATTTCATATGCCTCAGTTACCAGGTTAAAGGTTAAAATTTATACAACTACAGAAATAAAAAATACGAGTAGAAAATAAACATTCACAAAGCTGCACGTGAATGACCCACTAGACTTCTAGAATAATGTCTGTAAGACAGATGAGTCCAGAGAAAAAGAGTTTACCCACAATGCACGACATCATGTTTGAGAAAAATCAAACCAAATATGATAACAATCAGCTCATTCTAGGTGTCTGCATGGTGGTGGGGAGCTGATGGTTTGGGCTTCTTCCTAGACCATGAACTCTTCTGGACCAAGTATTCCGGTGTGATAGCTACAGTTTGGAACAAGTTGAGTCACAGAAAAGGACAGGGATCTTGAACGCAGCAGCAAATCTACAGCTGATCAAAGTGTTGCAAAGGTCCAAATATACCTTCTTATCTTTATAAATCAATAATTAATAAGCATGTGATATTTATAAATTTGACACAATTCAGACCACCTTCAAGACATTTAAAGTTTTATATGCTTTATGAAGGCTCAAAGATAAGTTACCAAATTTAAAAAGCAGTACCCCCTCCAGAGTATTACTCCTCTCCCACTTCCTGTTTGAAAATTGCAACAAACAACAACTGTTTCCTGGCAGGCCGAGAGGGCGGAGCCGCTAACAAATACACACAGGCTCACAACGGCATTGTGACATCATATGGTACCAGCTGATGTCATAGGGTACATATTAGCCAATAGCAATGGCAGATTTAAATTCAAATGCAGTGCTGAATTTTTACCTGAAGAGGGCACAACATGGACAGTTTTAGGTAGAAATTCTAATAAAAAAATTAAAAAAAGAAATTCTAATTTTAACTAAGATGCACTAAAATGCCAAATTGATGACTGCACGTGTCTACAGCATGATTAGACACTTATTTAAATAGTTAATCAGCAAAAAAGTTGATTTGGTGGTGACTTGCTCTTTAAACAAATGTCATTCCTCCGCCCCTTTAAGGAGAAATTGTATGCAAATCTGACACAAATTGAAGCAACATGAAACTGGAAGATTCAACCACTGTGCTTTTACTTTAAAAAATCCTGTACTAAAAGCTGGATGGTGAATGTAAAATTCCTGTTTCCTGAGCCCTATTTTAATCAGAGTCCAATGCTGAAAGCTTTGACCCAGCAAATGAGATTCCAACCCCTGAAGCAGGACCCCCACAAGCCCCGCTGTAAGATACCCAACCTGCAGCTGCTTTTTATCAGCTCGCCACAATCTTCAGAGGCCCTAACACAAACCTGCTGCTCCAATCATAACTGACAGTAAAATAACAGCTCTGAAGCCTTTAGAAAAACAAGTAATTAGCATCTTTATCATCACAGGCCCGTCTGGAATCTAATTTATGGGACATTCTGGGTCCAGTTTGAGCTATTAACCCCGAGACTGGTCTGAAGGCTGAGTAATCTTAATAATGAGGAGGAAAGGAAGCTTTTTCAGGTTTTCGGAGTCAAATCTATTATTGTGTTGCAACACTTGGACAAAACCATGACAGGAGGCGAGGGAACGTGTCATTCTGTGAGGATGCAGCTGTTTACTATTCGAATTAGCTTTGATCTCTGGTATGCATCTGCAGGCTGGAGTGATTACAGACACAGGAAGTGTTGGGATTATCCCAGTTAGAGTTGAAGGGGATGAGCCTGGAAGTGATGAGCTGTGTGCTTGGAAAATGTTTTATTTTGTTTGGGGCAAATGTTGTGTTATTTTGAACTCAAAAGTAATTAAACACATTTTGAATGATCAACAATGGGTAGCAGGTTTTGGTCCACTCAGGCTCCGGGAATTAAGAAGAAGAAGACAGAGAATATCATTTCTATAGCGCCTCACAAGGTGCTTAAGCTTAAGTCTCATCTCTGGTTGGATTATTCAGCAGGCATCCTTACTCCATGTCCTCTGCTGTCCTCTGTCCTCTCTGGAGGAGAAACTACAAAAGAAGAAACAACCGCTGTACATAATCCAGCCCTGGAGTAAAGTTTCTGAGAAAAGATGAACACCGGAAATCAGGCTCTGTGGCTTTCAAAATAAAAGTGTTCTATTTCAAATGATTAAACTTAATTTAACTTTGAAAACACTTTTAAACATATGTTACAGACATATAACACAGAAATTGAAAATGAAAAAACAGATCCCCAGTGGCTGGTTGCAGTAATAAGTTCTGAAATTGTCCTCTTTAGGTAAATAAGTGGAGTATTTTTATTTTAAGAGATAAAAATAAACCTCACATATTTATTTCTAGGTAGGTTTGTTGTGTACCTTCTTCCCACAGACCAAATAATGCATAGTTTAATGAGCCTCTACCTGTGAGTGCGTGTCTGATTGGTTGTTTAGTTTGCCTCTGTGTGTCCTGTCCCGTGTGACACACATGACCTGTCCAGGGTGTTTCCCACCTCACCCTGGTGATTGCAGTTCCCTGTGAGTGTGACCTTACTTAGGATTAGGTGGGTCCACATATAAATGAATCAATAAAATCTCATGATTATGTGTTGGTAAGCAGACTTTCTACATGCTGGGCAGACTCTAGTTTCAAAAGACAAAAATATGTGAAGGGTGTCTTGCTTTTTAACAAAAAAAAAAAAAAAAATAGAGAAGTTACATCCCTATTGACACCTGATAAAACTCTTATGCCTTCCATCCATCATCCATTCATTTTCGGCCGCTTATCCGGGGTCGGGTCATGGAGGCAGCAGCATAAGCAGGGTGGCCCTCCCCAGCCACTTGGGCCAGCTCCTCCGAAGGAAGCTCAAGGCGCTCCCTGGCCAGCCGAGATATAGTCCATCTTTCTGTCACTTGTGAACAAGACCCGAGATACTTTAACTCCTCCACTTGAGGCAGGACCTCGTCCCTGACTCGGAGAAGACATTCTACCCAGACTCAAGACCATGGTCTCGAATTTAGAGGAGCTGATTCTCATCCCTGCGGCTTCACGCTTAGCTGCCAGTATCCAAATCAGACGATTTTCCTCTTTTGCCTTAAATGTTTTGAATGTCTTGGATGGGAAGTGGAAGCAAACTGGGGTAGGCCTAATCAAAGTGTGAAATTCCTAAATTTAACAATGTATAGCGTATGTTTAGTGGCTTGGATACATTACTGTTTTAATGAACTAATTTTACGATTGTGCTGTGTATTATAGAAAAATAATCACTATATATTTAATGATTCATAATTAGAACAATTAAAAAAACAAAAGTTTGAATGGGGCTTTTATTTTGAAATGCCACACGAGAAGTAGAAGTTCGTGTATTGCTCAACTTTATTGTGGTGGCAACTTTTATCCCCGCAGCAGAACAAGCCAGAGATCATTAAACTCACTCAAAAAGCGCTTTCGTCTGCAGCGAGCAGGAGAACGGCGACGATGGGATTTTAAGGAGAACACAAACGAACTCAGACTTGTAGATTTTAAAAGCTTAAATCAGAAAAAAGTAAAAGTTTCGCGAATCCGCTGGATGCTGCGATGCGCAGAAAGTAACCGGGATCCTCATCGCTTCTACGTTCCTCATCGAGTTAGAAAACGCCATGAAAGGTACGAACCGCATCTTTATATTCAGATTATTTGTACACTTTGGCATCCCACTGAAGACCAAACCACATTTGAACAATTAGGAAGTACAATAAAGAAAATAATTGTTAGATAAACTTAAGAAGCCATTATCTTCACAGCTATTTCACACATTAGTTTTTGATTAACATAATACTCAATTTATTAAGTAAACTTATTGATTTTGTAACCTAAATTAGGCCTAGAGTCTCATAATTTTTCATTGGTTGTTTGAATTATTGTTTTCCTGTAAATTTTTATTTTGCCAGAATTGTTTGAAATCTCACTTTTTTCTTTTTAAAGGTACTAGAACTTTGTGTGACTGATGCACTGAATGAAAATGAATTTTAGAGAACAATTCATGCTTTCTTACAGTTTTCAGGCGAAAGTTGTGCTACGTTATGTAAGTAATCTGAAATATTTAAGTGAATATGCTTTAAGTTGAAAATTGAAAGGAAAAACATTATTGAAAAAAATAATAATTACAGACAGCTAAACCAAAACAAACCTAAGTGACTTGAAGCAATATATATATATATATATATATATATATATATATATATATATATATATATATATATATATATATATATATATATATATATATATATATATATATGTATGTATTCACACACACACATTATAATTATGTAACAAAACTAAACAAAGTTGATTCAAATATTACAAAATATCTTAAACCAAATCACACTTTAAAGGGGCATTATGGAAGTTTGACAGCCAAATCATGTATAGAAATAACAAATTTCTTCTTCATAAATTCTCCTGCAATGTCCTGGTCCTGTAGAATGAGCCCTGGCATTTTTACTGTGATTGCCTGTTTTTCTGTAAAATCACAGAAAAAGAGAGATGCTCGGGTCGAGCAGGCTGCTTCATGCGCGTTCACGCTCAGGCATCGCCCGTAGCATTTGCTATCAGTAGCTTTAGCAGCAGAGAGTGAGGTAGTGCCAACTCAGCGACTTTGTCGCTGTTCCTAACGCCTAGTGATGAACCTAGCTACATTTCTGAGGCCCCTTAGCAACTTTCTTCTAGATATTCCCTGCAAATTAGCAACAAAATAGTAGGGCTGGGGGTAAACGATTATTTTTAAAACGATTATTCTGACGATTATTTTATCGAATAGTCGACTATTCTAATGACTATTTAGAAAATTAATCTAATGATTATTTTTCTATTGCACAATTAACAAAAACCAGAAAATCTCAAATAAATTCCTCAAAAAAATTGATAAATTCTTACTGTAAGAGAATAAACACTATAGGCCTTCCATTTTGTATAACACTGCGTTTATTGTGTTGGTTGGTTATGTTCTGGTGACATGTAGAACTTGGGAGTGCAGGCTGCTGCCTGAGAGGTGGTAGAAGATGGAGTGTCTCCATGCTGCTTTGTTTTGGTCACTTATGTGCGTGAGGCGAATGGTCTTACGGGTTAAACCAAACTCAGGTGATATTTTACACTAAACCGAAAACCCACAACACTCTAAATGTAATAAAAGGGAGATCTACACCACAAAAAAGATGAACTCTAAACCAAAACGTAACAGCTTATCCCAACGCAAGAAGCTGTTAGCGAAGATGCTAACAGTAGCTTTACCAACGTTAAGTTCAAGTTACCAAGTTTAAATAAACCAAAAACACCCAGCAGCAAACAGACCAGCACGGAGGAGAGACTGCTACCACCAAAACAGCTCTCCTAATGTCTGAAAGAAGCTCCTTGATGAAGGGAGAAGCGCTCCCGGTGATTTTCTACATCTGCGGTAGACACGAAGCAGCGCATCTGACCCCGGAAGTTGTTGTCCGTTGCCGGGAGACGAAGGCGGGCAAAACAGGAAAATAATCTAGTAGAGGACGGACGTTGTTCCGGGTCTTCGGTATTTGGCGGAGATGTTATTGAAGGCGGAGAAGAGGGCGAACTAGAGGAAAAACAGGCAGATTCCTCCTCTATTTACAAACTCCTGGGGATGCAACAAGTGGGCGCGGTGCGTCGACTTCCGGATCTGACGTCGACAAATTTTTAGAATCGAGCCGTCGACTTCGTCGAGGCTTCGCTACAGCCCTACAAAATAGTCATTTTTGCTCCGAACCGTTCCTTGAACATTGTTTCAGCTGTTGTCAAGGATATAAAAGTAATAGATACGAAAGACGTTACTGGCCCTTTAGCTTACTGAGTAAGACCTTGGACTCTCGTGTGGAAGACCTAGGTTCGATTCTGGAAGTGAACATAATTTATTTAGAGTAAATATTTTACATTAATGGTATATTTTTTACAGTAAGATGCCCAAATTTTTATTTGAGACTCGCCGGCATTGATTTCACAGATAAAAAATATAGGTTCAACTTTCATTTTGGAACAATTTTTCGAGCAAGGGAAGGGAATGATCTGTGAAGCTGACGGACTGACCCATCTTAAACCTTTGTCGGCTGTGCTGAAGAGAAAGGCACAGAACCAAATAATTTAATTAATTAGCTGCGCGTTCTCCTGTCCTCTGTCCTTCGGGCCACACACACACACGGGACTGTCTCAGCTGTTATTTTCGCTAAGGAGTGTGCACGTACAGCATGCGCGCCTCGTGCACGAGCCTACTATTGAAGCTGCGTCACGCTTTTGGCCTGAGGGGGCAATCGCGAGCATAAAAATTCAAAACTCCGTAAAGTCCCTTTAAAGAGTAACTAAACCCCAAAATAACTTTTTTGCTATTTAACTGTATAATTAGGTCTTTACAAATGAAATGTTTTAGTTTCAGTGCATTATTTGACATGTTTGTGTAAGGTTGATTAAATCTAGAATCTAGGTCTAAAAATCTCTTAGTGCTGCCCCCTGTAGGTTGAACTGTGGCTACTGCATTTAAAATTTGTGATTGACTGGGCTGGTACAATTTCACGTCATCGGTACAGTCTCCTCCCACTGCTCCTCCCTCCCAAGATGGAAATTCCCCACACTTGCCCATGCCACTCTGTGCCTCCTGGCAACGCCCACTTTCATGGCATTTTTCAAATCTTGACTAGGGGTGGAGTTACATTTTCTGATTGTGTGCAGTCCCTCTTTAAAGTATTTTTTTTAATATTGCAGAAGAAATATTAGATTTGATTAAAATGATTCAGCAGTTTGATTTTTAAAATGTAGGATTTGCCTGCAACCATAAACCACATCTAGATTTATTTTTAAGTTGATCTAACATGTTACTTTTTTAGTTACATAATGAAAACATCCATAAAGATTATTTATGCATCGTAGCAAAAAGTTCGCTGTACCTGGGTTTAATAGAAATCATTTAAAGAGACTGTAATTTGATTCTGAAATCTTGATTTTATCCATCTGAGAGAAACTCTGGTTTATTAACACTCAGGAATGTGAGATCCACTCTTCATCCGATGCAACCCCTTCTGACCTCCCAACAGTAAACACACTCTCATACCCCCCCGCCCCCCATCTCTCTCCTCTTCGCTCCATCTGTCTACCATTACCAGTGATGTCCTCCTTGTTTTGCTCCAGTTTTCATTGTAGTGCAGGAGCAGAGTGTAATTAGGGTTTACTGTCAACAAACCAGTGAAACCGCAGCCCGGTGCGCGCCTTGGATCAGCGATCTCCACACATAAACACACAAAGACAAAGGATGAAATCATCTTGGTTCTGATTTCTTTTTGGTTGTCAGGAATTTGTTTGGATTATGGAATCATTCTGGTTGCATTTATCTTAATAAACCCCATTTAGTTAGTGTGTATTAACAATTTGTGTTTCTGATTTTGTCCCACAGACGACTTTGGAGACGAGGAGGAAGTACAATCTTTTGGATACAAGAGGTTCGGTGAGTGCATGAGAAGAGAGTTTAATTTTGTTTTCCTTGAAGCTGGAGGAGAAACCAGCTCAGTTGGAGCTCTGATTATTAAACTTTTATAGACTTTCAAATAAATTGCCATTGGTAAAAGGCACTAAGTGTGTGGCCTTAAGTCTTTCTCCTTTTCTGTTGCTACTAACTCAGATTTACCTGATATTAAAAGACATGCTGTTTAAATCCAGCCTACTAGTTTGGTGGAAGCAGCTCAGAAGCTTGTCTTATCTCTGATATTTGGCACCAAAAATGATGATTAAAAAGTAGCTACCAGGCTGTGAGGTCCATGTCACCACAGGCACACAGAATGACGATGTCATTTATCCACGCAAAGTGAGTCGATTAAACCCGATGACTCACATAAACATGTCTAAGGGCTCACGATGCGGTTTCCTGAAACTTAAAGCATAGTTATGGGTTTGTTTTGTGAAAAACAAGGATGGAGTTTAACACTCTGGAGGCAGGCGTTGCAGATGTGCAACAGTTAAAACCTACCTACCTGGTTAATCCACATACATATTTCATGAGCATTTTTTAACTCAGAAGTACCCCTGAAGGACTTAGCTGTTCGTCCTTTTATCAAAACTTATTTTGAGCCTGAGATTAACCCTCTCAGCGATTTTTTTCTGTGGAAATCTGCTGCAGCCTGCTATAGATTTAGTTTTTTTTACTAACTCTAACCCTTTACCCGGCAGACTTCAGGAATATGTTACAGTAGGCGTGGCCTTTAGCAGGGATGAATATCATCTCCCGCACAGCAACGTCTTAAATGCAAAGTTATCTTCTGACAGTTGATCACACACACACACACACACACACACACACACACACACACACACACACACACACACACACACACACACACACACACACACACACACACACACACACACACACACACACACACACACACGGCAGCATGTTAGAATCTTTTGAATGACTAATTTAACTACATTGAACTGCTTTAGTAATAATTTAATCTCTTATTCAGGAGTAAAATAAAGAAACAAGCTAAATCATCACATATCTGTGGCATCAAGAAGCATCTTCTGAGTTCAAACACAGGGATGGAGCACAATGTTTACACCTGAACAGTATCAGGATGTTTTAACTCACAGAGGCCTGCAGGTTTTCTGTTTTATGAGCAAACCCCTGATAATCCGCTTGTTATGAGCGCTAAACGTTATTTTGCCATTGCCGTGCGGAGCGGTAGGGAAACACATTTCAAACAAGGAACCGAGTCCGACAACGGAACCGAGCAGAATTCTGATGACGTCACACCGGTGCGCGAAGGTGTGGGTTCCAACCCACAGGAGAGGAGGGAGAGAGGAGGTAAACAGCAAGTTGAAGGACTGAACGGATGTCTTTGAGCAGAAGTGTACACCCACACCCCCCACGGGTTAGACGCGGCGCTCATGCAGGTGTCTCTTTCTGTTCCGGTGCTGCTACACGCAATATTTTTAATTTATTAAGACTATAATTTATTTTTACTCAGTAACGGATATGATTTAAAATGTAGCGAATTACAATTCTTAAAAAAAAACTTACTCAAGTAAAAATAAAAGTCCAGATTTTAAAAACGACTTAAAAAGTATAAATATACAAAAAAAGCTACTCAATTACAGTAATGTGAGTAAATGTAATTCGTTACTTTCCACCTCTGGGTAAATGGCCTGTATTTGATATAGCACCTTCTAGAGTCCTGGAACCCCCCAAGGCGCTTTACAACACAATCAGTCATTCACCCATTCACACACACATTCACACACTGGTGGGGATGAGCTACGATGTAGCCACAGCTGCCCTGGGGCGCACTGACAAGGGCAAGGCTGCCGAGCACTGGCGCCACCGGTCCATCCGACCACCACCAGCAGGCAACGTGGGTTAAGTGTCTTGCCCAAGGACACAATGACAGCAACAGACTCCTGTGCCACCGTCGCCCCGTTGTATAATGTATAAAGTTATAAAGTTGTTATAAAATCCTTATAAAGCTTTATTAAGTGCTGAAATGTTGCTTAATGTGTTTGTTTGGGCACACAAGTTGTAAAACAGCCAGTAAACACATGCCTCTTATGCGCGACAGAGAGATTTGATGTTACGACAGTGACGTTACACAGCAAGCCATGAGAGGGCGACAGAGAGCATGTTCGCAAAGTTCAGGAGTGAGTCTTTAAGGCATTTTAATCTCTTTTCTTTCAGGGGAAACATGAAAGATGAGGGGTACATTTTCCTGGGATGCCACACATGTTCACATTTCATGACTATATGGCATTACCTTGCTAAATGACATCCTATTTAGCCATTTTTTAACCCAAAATGTGACTATAATTAAAAAAGAAGACCTCATGCTGAAACAAGGAAATGTGAAATTAATGATCAGGACTATGGCTATGAACAAACACATTCATAATTTTGGATAAAGATCTAAAAGGGGGACCTAAGGGCAGTCTTTCCTTTGCACACACTTACAGGTGCTGGCCAGTAAATTAGAATATCATCAAAAGGTTGAAAATATTTCAGTAATTCCATTCAAAACGTGAAACTTGTACATTATATTCATGCAATGCACACAGACCAATGTATTTCCAATGTTCATTACATTTAAATTTGATATTCATAAGTGACAACTAATGAAAACTCCAAATTTGGTATCTCAAAAAATTAGAATATTCTGAAAAGGCTGAATATAGAAGACACCTGCTGCCACTCTAATCAGCTGATTTACTCAAAACACCTGCAAAGGCCTTTAAAAGGTCCCTCAGTCTTGTTTTGAAGGCACCACAATCATGGGGAAGACTTCTGACTTAACAGCTGTCCAAAAGACAATCATTGACACCTTGCACAAGGAGGGCAAGACACAAAAGGTGATTGCTAAAGAAGCTGGCTGTTCGCAGAGCTCTGTGTCCAAGCACATTAACAGACAGGCGAAGGGACGGAAAAAATGTGGTAGAAAAAAGTGTACAAGCTCTAGGGATAACCGCACCCTGCAGAGAATTGTGACGACAAACCCATTCAAAAATGTGGGGGAGATCCACAAAGAGTGGACTGCAGCTGGAGTCAGCGCTTCAAGAACCACCACGAGGAGACTCATGAAAGACATGGGATTCAGGTGTCGCATTCCGTGTGTCAAGCCACTCTTGAACAAGAAACAGCGCAAGAAGCGTCTCGCCTGGGCCAAGGACAAAAAGGACTGGACTGATGCTGAGTGGTCCAAAGTTATGTTTTCTGATGAAAGCAAGTTCTGCATTTCCTTTGGAAATCAAGGACCCAGAGTCTGGAGGAAGAGCGGAGAAGCACAGAATCCACGTTGCATGAGGTCCAGTGTAAAGTTTCCACCGTCAGTGATGGTGTGGGGTGCCATGTCATCTGCCGGTGTTGGCCCACTCTGTTTCCTGAGGTCCAGGGTCAATGCAGCCGTCTACCAGGAAGTTTTAGAGCACTTCATGCTTCCTGCTGCTGACCAACTTTATGGGGATGCAGACTTCACCTTTCAACAGGACTTGGCACCTGCACACAGTGCCAAAACCACCAGCACCTGGTTCAAGGACCATGGTATCCCTGTCCTTGATTGGCCAGCAAACTCGCCTGACCTTAACCCCATAGAAAATCTATGGGGTATTGTGAAGCGGAGGATGCAATACGCTAGACCCAACAATGCAGAGGAGCTGAAGACGACTATCAGAGCAACCTGGGCTCTCATAACACCTGAGCAGTGCCACAGACTGATCGAGTCCATGCCACGCCGCATTACTGCAGTTATTGAGGCAAAAGGAGCCCCGACTAAGTATTGAGTGCTATACATGCACATTCTTTTCATGTTCATTCTTTTCAGTTGGCCAACATTAGAGAAACAAACATTTTTTCATTGGCCTTTAGAATATTCTAATTTTCTGAGATACCAAATTTGATGTTTTCATTGGTTGTCACCTATAAATATCAAATTTAAATGTAATGAACATTGGAAATACATTGGTCTGTGTGCATTGCATGAATATAATGTACAAGTTTCACGTTTTGAATGGAATTACTGAAATATTTTCAACCTTTTGATGATATTCTAATTTACTGGCCAGCACCTGTAAACACATCATAATTATCCTCCTCGGAGACACCGCGCATGCTCCATCACTGTGTAGCAGATTTAAGGGTCATTTGGGAGCCTCTGTGTCTCTGTTTGCAGGGTGTTTCTTCAGAATGACTTATTTACACACAAAAAAATAAAAAAAACTAGCCAAAGTCCGCGAAAGTGAGGCGGCGGACTAAATTGTTTAACTCCACACCAGCAATGATGGATTTAAACTGTGTTGGAACACAATCTCTTTCATCCGAGTCACCCGAATCCAGGCATCCTGTTTGTCTTCCTCCACGAGCGCGTGCCACTTCTGTGCATGGATTCCATTAGAGAGCTGTAGGGATGGGAGCCAACTCTTTTTTCGACTCAAACTTCACGTTAGTATGACCACAGGGAGAGAGCTGCTGAAGTCTCAGCAGAGACAGGGCAGCTGTTGGGAACTGCCGGCTCAGAGGGTTTATTGAGCAACCGAAGTGCATGCATGCAGCCCATCTCAGGCCTTCAGTCTTCCACTACAAGTTCTGTAAATGTGGTTCTCAGGGGGAATCAAACACTGAGGTTTTCTTCACATGTTTGGCTTTAATTTGTTTCTCCAGAGCCTGATGGTGTTTAAATGACAGACATGTCGGAGCTGTGAATGTTGTTCAAATCTGTCTCTGGTTTGTTAAAGTCTCACTGAAAAACAGAACACTTAATCCTGGTGGTTTTATTCAGTGAATGCAAACAAGTGGTTCTTATTTAAGTGCACATTTATATGCTGATTTTTGTATTCCACTTTTTTTATTGAAGTTCAGCAACTCTTTCTGCACATAACTGAAACAGGAATAAGGAGCTGTCAGCAGGTAAACTAAGTTTCCCATGTTGGACTGAGTTGTCATACCTCACCGTTAGGTCCGTTTACTTA